TTGGGTTTGTACTATTTATTCATGAAGCCCAGAAATCACACGCACGCACGCACACACCATGCAGCAGTATTGACGCGCGCACGCAGCATGACCCGACTCCGGGTCTAAACGCGCTGCTGGTCCCGCGGACTCACGGGGAGACCCAGCGGCTTGAGGCAGGACGGGATGGGGAGTTCGGACAAGCTGGCCGGGAACGTGTCCGGACTCAGCTGCTGCAGGATGGTCTGCATGGTGCTGACGGCCAGCGGAGCGGGGCTCTGACCCGCTAGGTACTTATAGGTCTCCTCGCCCAGAACTTTGCTCCAGACCTCCGGAGTCTTGCCCAGAACCTCCTTCAGTTTAAAGCGGACCTTTGGCATGAACATGAGCAGATGGTCCAGACACCGCCGGGCCTCCTCTCCGTCCAGCACCGAGGAGTCCCTGAGTTTCTCCAGAACCACGTCCAGCGGGGTGACGCCGTCGTGATCCTGCGCGCTGGCGCACGCTCCGCTGCCCAGCAGCATGATGACCGCCTCGGGCCGCAGCAGCTCGCATGCCAGGTGGAGTGGGGTTCGGAAGCGGCCGTCTGCGCTTGCGTACCCCGGCACCCGGCGGCTCTCCTGCAGGATGAGGCCGAGAATGTAGCGCCGGTCATAGCGCACCGCCATGGTGAGGTGCGGGGCGGAGGACGGGCAGCAGCAGAAGCGTTCCCCCGGCTCTGCCAGCGCCGCCTCGCCGTACCGGGTCAGCAGGTACTGGGCGTACGCCTGGTGGTCGTGGACGATGGCGTACAGCAGCGCCTCCGACGGGCTGAAGATCCTCTGGCCGGCGTCGTCCTCCAGGTAGAACGCCTCCATGGTTCGCATGTCCTCCAGCATCCAGACCGGCTTCAGGTCCCGCACGGCCCGGTAGAAGAGCAGCGAGAAGCACTTGTGGCTCTCAGCGTTCCGCGCCGCGGAGCCGGCGCGTCCAGAGGCCATGGCGACCGAAGAACTTTGTGTCCGAAACGGTCCCGGCGACCGTCATGGTGCCGGAGACATGGTCTCAGCAGCCCCGAACCGAGCCCAGAATCTCGGCTTCACCCACTCAACAAATAGAAAAGACCCGCTGAGTCACGGATCCGTAACGGACGCGCATTCCGCCGCTGCGACAGCTGCGCGAGCCGCTGTGCAGCGGGCAGCTAGTGCGCATGCGCACAACCTCAACACGTCAAAGCTTGCAGGAGCTGTCATGTGCTGGAGCTGGACTCTGTTACATGTTACAAGTGCAGCAGAGCCAAGCCACGCCCACAGCTGACAGAGCCGGGGACCGGGGACACAACGTCAGCCCCCTGGGGCACGTGGACCCCCCCCCCCCCCCCCCCCCCAAAGACTGCTGCCTAATTAATAATGCGGCAAAACACCAACAAACCAAGAAAACTGCAGACATCTGAATCGTTCCTCAGCGTCCCGAAGCGGACAGCCTGACCCAGGCCAAACACACACATGTACACATGTACACATGTATACATGTATACATGTATACATGTATACAAGACCAGAGAGCAGCGCTCATCTCGCTGCTCGTTTTAAGTACAAAAACAGTAAATAAGTAACTAAAGGTACAAAAACAGTCATCAGCCTAGCGGATACCTAATATATAAACATGTAATTGGCCCCAAAACAAAGTTGTAATGTGGGTCTGAAAAATTAAAGCACAGGGGAATCATGACATCATGGGGAATTAAATGTGTGTGAATGTGAGTAAGTGTGATCCGGGAGATCAGTAAAAGCAGCAGGTGGAGAAGTTTAGATCTAAAGGTTGTGATAGGTAAAGGTGTCGAGTTTAAGGTGTTTTGTAAGTTGTTCCAGTCATGCAGCTGCAGCGGAAGGATTTGGGGCCAAAGACTGTAGAGGTGTTGGGGATGATGAGCTGAGTGTGATATTTATTATGGGAGAGGTGAAGAAGCGAGGACAGCTAGAGAGGTGTCTTGCCTAGAATTGTCTTGTAGACAAAAAGAAGCCAGTGATCTTTGTCTCGTCACTCCAGAGTCCAGACTCCCAGTAGTCTTCATCTGTTCCAGCGTGGGCCCTAGATAACCCCAGGTGTGCTGTTTGTGCATGGGCCTCAGGAGAAGCTTCCTTTGTGGACGATCCCCATGCATGCCATTCCTCTGCACGTGTGCCGTATGATGTCACAGGAAACGGTCCAGTTGGGCTTTCTCCTGCTTTAGCTAACTGCGGTGAACTTACATGGTGACTTTCTTCAACTCCTCTCATCAGAAGACGTTCCTGTCCAGATGTGAACTTCTGTGGACGGCCTGGACGTCTCTGTAAGCTGGTTGCTCTTCCATCCTTCTTATATGTTTGGATCACCGTTGCTGCAGTATTGTGACTGACGTGAAGCTTTGCTGATCTTCTGCTGGCCCTCACCTTTTTGTGTAAAGAAATGATTTCCTGTCTCAGATGTTGTGACATTTCTCTTCCATGTGGAGCCGTTGCTGACAGCATGAAATGGGAGGGGCTAGTGAAGTAACGCCCTTTTATAGTCACCTGTCTGCTGGACACCTCTTAGATGAACCATTAGACTCACCTGTGGTTGAACACCTGTTCATTTGAATTTGTAGTCTTGAGTCTTTCCTCCTAAGACTACATCTGGGGTGTACTCATGTATGCAACATGGGCTTGAATGGATCTGTTAGGAAAATCACTTTAGTGTGAAAATGAACAAATGTTGTTTGTAATCGATGGCCCACACCTGTGGGAGGGTTCTGTAGTATGGTACCTCAGAGAAGATGCTGGTTCTGGAAGCAAACTAAAGCTTCTCTGACTGATGTAGAGGGGTGTACTCATTTATGCTGAGCACCGTATATAATTCACAAACACTTCTATCTTTGAACATAAATTAAACTGGATTATTGCCAGCATTAATATAATTGATATGCCTCACTCATTTCGTTTGTGGGTAACTGGAGGAAAAGGAACGAAACTCGTTCCAGTTAAATAAATAAAGTGTAATGGCACCAACCTGCCACCTGGCGTCGCTGTCTGACCGCTTAGACGCCTGGATGAGAAACTACGTCACAGAAGAGCAAGAAAACGCGATCACGTGTTGCCGACTTAACACATTTGTCATGCTTTACTTTGATCACATAATTAAACCATTTTCGTGAGTCGCTCCAGCTCCAGCAGGACAAGCGAGGAAACGCGGTTATCTTGTTAGGTAAGTAAACTCTACATTAACACCTCGCTATTTTAACCTGCAGCAGTTTATTCTAAATAAAAAACAAAGGTAACACCCAGCAGGGGGAGGGGGCGCTGCACGCGCCATCCAGATGTGAGGTCTCAACGCTGACGTCAAAAGCACCTTTCACTGAGACAGGTGTGTGATCGTAAAGCAACGGAACACAACTGTCCACGTGTCCCCGCGTCTGAGGACGGTCAGGTGTTCCCGGTAAAACACGGTTCATCGCGAGTTTCGCTCAGGTCGCTGTAACAAATCCATTCCTGAAAGTCTCTGCCTGTGGATGACGAGCTGGATGACTTTGTCTTTCATTTAGAGAAGCACTTTTCTAGCGTTTTCCCTGACATGCTGTGTTTTGTGTGTTTAAAATAGAAACTTTTATCGTTTCGTTGTTGAATTAAACTAAAACCAGGTCTTTTATTTCCTTAGAAACCGCAGCTCCACACTCCGGTCCGGTAGGGGGCGGTGCAACACTTCTTATACCTGCTAACTGCTAATAAACCACAGAAGAAGAGTGGACTTCCTGGTCAGACTGCAGTTTCGGGTGTTTTCCTTCGGCAGGAGTTTCGGTACATCTCTGGTTCTGGTTCTGGTTCTGGTGTTGGTCGGCGGGGATTCGCACACGTGAGCTGACGTCCCGGCGAGGACCTGCTGCTTCCCCCAGAACATGTCCGCCTCCGCTGGATGCTCTCCGTCCGGACACAGCCTAGGCCTGGGCCCGGCTGTGTCCATGTTCCGGTGGCTGGAGGTTCTGGAGAAAGAGTTTGATAAGGCCTTTGTGGACGTGGACCTGCTGCTCGGAGAAATCGACCCGGATCAAGTGGACATCACGTACGAGGGCCGGCAGAAGATGACCAGTCTGAGCTCCTGTTTCGCCCAGCTGTGCCACAAGACCCAGACGGTGTTCCAGCTCAACCATAAACTGGAGGTAAGCTGCCCCCGACGCGCACATCCACCACGATCACGTCAGAGCTGAGCAGCCCTGGGGGGTCAGAAAGCAGCGTAGAGCTTCTGGTTCTGGCTTGGGACACCTGCATGTGAGCTGGTCTCCTTTCAGGTGACTAGATAGTTAAACTTCTAGCATCAGTTCAGTGTTTGGATGAATTATTACACGATTGATCTGTTCATAAAAGCAATGCTTGTTGGAGGTTTTCAGCCCCGTGAGTCCGTTTAGAAGATGTCTAGAAGTTGAAACCAAACACGAACTGGTCCTGACAACGACCTGACGGGTCGAACATCCAGAGACAGCCGAGGTGTTTGGAGTGACCGAGGCGAGGTCCTGAGAGGTAGGTGGTTCCAGAGCCACGACGAGGAACCTCTGGTTCTAGAGGGACAGCACGGGGTCATGGAGAGATGACGGGCCAGACCGTCACGACCTTTGAACTTTGGGAGCTGATGCTTCTAGTACCTGTTAGATGAGGTAGATGGAAGATCTCATTCTTCAAACGGTAGTAGAAATATTCTACATTTGTTCTTATTATCAAGATTTAGAATATTGGTGCGAACAGTCAACATCCTGATTTATGAACCCTGCGGTGGCCTCTCGTATGGACGTTCCTCCGCATTCGTCTGATTGATCCCACCTGTGCGTACCCAGGTGCTCGTGTCCACTTACAGGTGCTGGCCAGTAAATTAGAATATCATCAAAAGGTTGAAAATATTTCAGTAATTCCATTCAAAACGTGAAACTTGTACATTATATTCATGCAATGCACACAGACCAATGTATTTCCGATGTTTATTACGTTTAATTTTGATATTTATAGGTGACAACCAATGAAAACATCAAATCTGGTATCTCAGAAAATTAGAATATTCTAAAGGCCAATGAAAAAATGTTTGTTTCTCTAATGTTGGCCAACTGAAAAGAATGAACATGAAAAGAATGTGCATGTATAGCACTCAATACTTAGTCGGGGCTCCTTTTGCCTCAATAACTGCAGTAATGCGGCGTGGCATGGACTCGATCAGTCTGTGGCACTGCTCAGGTGTTATGAGAGCCCAGGTTGCTCTGATAGTCGTCTTCAGCTCCTCTGCATTGTTGGGTCTAGCGTATTGCATCCTCCGCTTCACAATACCCCATAGATTTTCTATGGGGTTAAGGTCAGGCGAGTTTGCTGGCCAATCAAGGACAGGGATACCATGGTCCTTGAACCAGGTGCTGGTGGTTTTGGCACTGTGTGCAGGTGCCAAGTCCTGTTGAAAGGTGAAGTCTGCATCCCCATAAAGTTGGTCAGCAGCAGGAAGCATGAAGTGCTCTAAAACTTCCTGGTAGACGGCTGCATTGACCCTGGACCTCAGGAAACAGAGTGGGCCAACACCGGCAGATGACATGGCACCCCACACCATCACTGACGGTGGAAACTTTACACTGGACCTCATGCAACGTGGATTCTGTGCTTCTCCGCTCTTCCTCCAGACTCTGGGTCCTTGATTTCCAAAGGAAATGCAGAACTTGCTTTCATCAGAAAACATAACTTTGGACCACTCAGCATCAGTCCAGTCCTTTTTGTCCTTGGCCCAGGCGAGACGCTTCTTGCGCTGTTTCTTGTTCAAGAGTGGCTTGACACACGGAATGCGACACCTGAATCCCATGTCTTTCATGAGTCTCCTCGTGGTGGTTCTTGAAGCGCTGACTCCAGCTGCAGTCCACTCTTTGTGGATCTCCCCCACATTTTTGAATGGGTTTGTCGTCACAATTCTCTGCAGGGTGCGGTTATCCCTAGAGCTTGTACACTTTTTTCTACCACATTTTTTCCGTCCCTTCGCCTGTCTGTTAATGTGCTTGGACACAGAGCTCTGCGAACAGCCAGCTTCTTTAGCAATCACCTTTTGTGTCTTGCCCTCCTTGTGCAAGGTGTCAATGATTGTCTTTTGGACAGCTGTTAAGTCAGAAGTCTTCCCCATGATTGTGGTGCCTTCAAAACAAGACTGAGGGACCTTTTAAAGGCCTTTGCAGGTGTTTTGAGTAAATCAGCTGATTAGAGTGGCAGCAGGTGTCTTCTATATTCAGCCTTTTCAGAATATTCTAATTTTTTGAGATACCAAATTTGGAGTTTTCATTAGTTGTCACTTATGAATATCAAATTTAAATGTAATGAACATTGGAAATACATTGGTCTGTGTGCATTGCATGAATATAATGTACAAGTTTCACGTTTTGAATGGAATTACTGAAATATTTTCAACCTTTTGATGATATTCTAATTTACTGGCCAGCACCTGTATATACAGGAACGCCCTCAGTGAACCATATGTGGTCCTGCTACGTCCTCGGCACGTCAGAGGAATCCCTTCGTTCAGAAAACAAAACTGTTCAAGATCGGGCTGCTGAAGCATAAAAGAACCTTGCAGGGGTTATAAACGCGGTCAGGACAGAGGAGAGGTTTCCGTCAGGAATACATAAAAACTTTATTCTGATCAATCGTAGAGGAACGAGTTGTCATCTACATTTTACATTTGAGGAGTCGTTCTGGATGGAGTTAGTTTTATTTGGAAATGTCTGAGTGCAGCCTCATTCAGTCTGGTTACCATGACAACGCGTGTGTGATGGGGTTCTCGTAGAACATGAACTGGAATCGGATTTGTGCGTTTCATCTGTCGCTCCTCAAAGGGTCCCACATCCCAGCAGAGCTCCAGACGGATCGCCTGACAGAGCGCTCCCGGAAACGCGTTTACTCCAGAGGAGCTCTGTCATGTCATGCTTTTAAATTATTCCTTTTCACATCTAAATCATACAGTTGTGGAACTGCAGTTCTGTGGTCTGATTTCCTCATTGTTGTTGCTCTACAGACCCTCATCTACCCGTTCTGAGGAGACTGGGAAGGAGCCGTTTTTGGGTACTGTCTCTTTAAATCTGGAGGAGCTGCAAACCCCGCCCCCCTCCACAGAGCAGACCGACTCTCCTCCCCCAGTCAGACTTTGTAGTTCTATAGAGAAATCATTATTTAGCGTAGCAGAAACGTTATATTAACATTTATAAACATGTGGGGAGAGTTGTTGGTCAGGCTGTTCCAGGGCTGCCAGCTCTCTCATGCGTTTGTCTGGATTCACACGCTGTCGCCTCGCCCGTTGTTTTTCATCTCTTACTTTGTTTACTAGTTCACTTTGCTGCAGTGGCTTCATATTTTCCTACAAATGCAGCACAGGGTGGGTCTCCTTCCTCAGTAGGTGACGTGAAGCTCCAACATCTGAGCTTTCTGCGTTCCTGAGAGGAGACGAAAAGTAACAGCAAGCTGGACGAGTTTGCTGGCTAAATAATTTTTTATTTGAAGGCCTTGGAGAACCAGATCTTCACCACCGCGGTGACGTTAGCTTGAAGTTGGACGTTGGATATTCGACAGACATTGGTTTACACGGTCAGCGATAAGCCTTCATGCCGTGCACGGCGGCACAGACAGCGGTGACCTGAGTTCTGAGGACTCGCTAACGGGAATGGTGGTTCACTTAGGGACTATCAACAAATTTGTAGTCCTTTGTAAAGGAGTACAAAAAGAAAACCCTTCCAGAATAATTTCCTGAATGACTCAAAATTACGTCTGACTTGTGTTACTGAACTACATTTACAAGACACAACAGTTTTAACACATTTCACACAATCTGATCTTTTTATTAGGATTTTATTCCAAAATGAAGGGATTTTTTTCAATAGCTCCTAGGTAAATCTGTCATAATACCCCGATCCATTTCTCAATGTTGTTCCTAAGCCAGACCGATGAAACACAGCAGTTGTTTTCACATTTCACAAGCTCTGGTCCTTTTTATTAGAATTTTTATTAAAAAATAAGTGATTTATTTCAATAGCTCTTAAGCTAATTGCTTAAATACTCAAAACCATTTCTCAGTGCTCAGCAGCACAGCTTCAGGCCATTGCAAATTCATCTTTGACCTCAGTCAAACCTCTCCTCCCTCAAATTCTTAGGTGGTATTCTCTTCTTCCTCCTGTCTTGGAGTGGGGATCTCGTCGATGGTAACCTTTCTCAATCAGAACGTCCCTCGTCAGCACCTGGCTTGATATCAAGTTGTAGTCAGTTGCATTGGTACGCAGTCCATTTCATTTCAATTCATCAGTACGTGACGAGGCCAGATTCTCTAATCTAGTCATGAGCCACGATGGGGTTTATGTTTTAGTATTTCACAAAGACAAACATCACAGCCACCAAGGCTCTGGTCAGCACGTTGGGCGAGGTGAGTTTAGGGTCCTTGCAGTTCTTGAGCAGCATCCGGCCCCTGGTGGTCTTTTTAGTGTTCAAGGGCGAGGTCCGTGGTATTTGTTTGTCTTTCTCTCCAGCTGAAATGGCGATCGAGTATTTCCTTTATGTCCTCCAGAAGTGAGGGCCCAACTTTGACTCAACTGTTGGGAGAGAGAGAGACAACAATTTGCCTGAAGATGGATGTTTAAGATGTCCCTGCCCAGAGTGCATGACCTCACCCAAGATGCCGACGAAGACATTTACAGGCTTCATATCACATAAGGTGATGGGGATCAGCCTTAGCTTTCATCCTTTGACAAAATTCTTTAAAAAAAAAAGTTGCATCTCGTTAAATGTGATAAAAACTGCTGTGTCTCATTGGTCTCCAGTAGTGACATCATTGAGAAATGGTTTCGAGTTTGTTGACTGATTTACCCAGAAGCTATTGACAAAAATTACTTAATTTTTGATAAAAATCCTAATAAGAAAGGTAGGATCTTGTGAAATGTTACAAAATCTGTTGTGTTTCATCGGTCTGGCTTAGGAACAACATTGAGAAATGGTTCAGGGTATTATGACAGATTTACCTAGGAGCTATTGAAAACAATCCCTTCATTTTGGAATAAAATACTAATAAAAAAGATCAGATTGTGTGAAACGTGTTAAAACTGTTGTGTCTTGTAAATGTAGTTCAGTAACACAAGTTAGAAGTAATTTTGAGTCATTTAGCAAATAATTCTGGAAGTTTTTTATTTATTTTTTGTACTCGTTTACAAAGGACTACAAATTTGTTGATAGTCCCTAAGTGAACCACCGTTCCCGTTAGCGAGTCCTCGAAACTCAGGTCACCGCTGTCTGTGCCGCCGTGCACGGCATGAAGGCTTATCGCTGACCGTGTAAGCCAATGTCTGTCGAATATCCAACGTCCAACTTCAAGCTAACGTCACCGCGGTATCTTCCCTTACCTAAACATCAGACCAGTTTGTCCCAGCCGAGCTCATCAGGGCTTTAGTCTGACAGCCTGTCAGTGAAACACGGCTCCAGCTTTCTGGATGTGGACTCTAAAAAGAAAAGGAGCATTTTTACTGTTGTTTAACTTATTTTACAGGTGATTTTATCAGCTTTCCGACGCTCATGCTCATACAGACGAGTGTCTGTGAGCTTTGCTGCGTCTGACTGATGCAGAGTTAGTTTTTATATCTGCAGTGACACAAAAACTAACCTCACTTCACTCAGAGATTGTTCTTTAAAACTCGTATTAAATCCACTGTGTTGACGCACTTTAACCACTTTGTCTCGCTGCATCTTAGCTGATGTTTTATTCCAAGAAAATCGTCCGAATCCACGTTGATCTTGTGTAGTGGTTTTAGTGGGTCGCTGGTTTTAACTGTAATGAGAAAATACATCTGGATATCAAAAGAAAAGCAGTGGACCTGATTGTTAAGCTTTCTGAAGGTGATCCTAATGGCAGCACAGAGTGAGAACAGGCAAGGTCCCAGAACGAAGCCCTGAGGAACTCCACATGTCAGAGGTGCTGGAGCTGAGGACCACTGATCTGACTGAGCAGGTTCTTTCTGCCAGATCAGATGTAGATCCAGTAAGACCCTGACTGTTATTTAAGGACTCTCTGAGACACACACACACACACACACACACACACACACACACACACACACACACACACCGCGGGCCTGGCTTCAGCACCTCTCTGTTTGTTGCTCATAGGCCCAACTGGTGGACCTGCGTTCTGAGCTGACTGAGGCTAAAGCTGAACGGACCGTAGTGGAGAAGGAGGTCCATGACCTGCTCCTGCAGCTTCATGCTCTTCAGTTGCAGCTTCGTGTCAAACAAGGACAAGCTGAGGACTCGGACACCATCAAAGAAAGACTGGTAGGTAGACGGGTCCATTATTGTGCTGCACTAAGGTCAGTTATTAGTTTGGTCCTTGCTGAAGCAAAGCTGGTGCCTACAGATATGCACGTGGTGGTTGGTTTCACAGTGACAAGACAACTTTATTTATATAGCATACCTCCTACACCCTAACCCTCAAATTCTGTGCCTTACAGCAGTGGTCTGAATCAGACATTCAGGAGAATTATGATGATGAATAAAAACGTATGTCACTGGTCTGGTACCCAGTGTAAGAGGGTATAATATGTTGCTTTTAAGCTTAATATACTACCTGTACTTGGGACCAATAAGATGTGATCTTCTATATAAATATAGGATATCAGCCTGATTGATCTTTGAATGTTTAATCAGAAGAATTAGGATTCTTTGCTTTTTCAGTTGTAGCGTAATGGTTCTTGGCTCTTTTATGAAAGAGGAACCATTCTACATAATAATCTGGAATATTAATTTTTACAAATTAATAACCAATTTTATAGAGATAAGAAGACTCAAAGGTTGTTTTCATCGATAAACTGACGATCATATCCGTTTGTCTGTGTTTCAGTTCAATGAAAAAAACAAGTTTAAAATTTAAGAGTTTTAATTCTTCAATTTAAACTAATGATTTGAAATGACAATCATGGGAAACAATCAACATTGGCAACCTTGTTGGACATCTTTAACAGGTGATATTTTAAGCTTGCACAAATAGACCTTGTGTTGGATGTGCTGAAGATTGAGGATGATGTAATTATGAATGCGTGCATGCAGGTGTCTGAGGTTGCTTCAGGGAGAGGAAAGGTGAATCTGAGTGAAAGATGATGTTTTGAATTAAACTTTAGTTCTTATTAGAAAAACAGCATCAGAACGCTATCTATCGTGTTCCGTCTCACCGACCCAGGACCCTCTTTAGATCTGGACCGAAGGAGGATGTTTCATCCAGATGCCACCTTGGCTGGCAGAGAAGACGAAGGTGTGCGACGGTCCAGTCCAGAGTTGACCTCGGTACACGTTGATGAAGCGTTTAGCAGATGCTCTTTCTCAAGTTTAGATTAACTCAGAAACCAAAGACTCTGGGATGAGTCTGTGTAAGCTTGACAGAAATAGCGTGGGGGAAGAAAAGAGCCGGCAGGGCTCCTTTCCCCGTGGCGTTCGTTCCACACTTCTGCTCTCTTTTGTTCTCTCTGACTAACTTACCAAAACCACTTCTCTTCCCAAAGCAAACTTGTTGTGCGTCAGAGCAAATGTGTTTTGAAGTTACTGTGAAGTGGGACCTGTGTGAGTGGGTGTGAAGGTCATCGCTAAACATCTTCAAAAACTTTATTTAATTAAGTATACTCAGGGTCTGGAATTAACACTCGCCACTCGCCAAATGCGAGTAAATTGCTCCATTTGGCGAGTAAATTTTTGAGCTCTACCTGCCACCTGGCGAGTAAATGTTTGCACCAAATTAGTTATGTTTATCAGTCATCTTCTCTGGATTTCTGATACTCCTCCCGCCTGCATGCAACGTACGCGAAACGTGAGCGCCACATCCAACGTCATTTCCACCTATCCCATTCAATCATTTTATCAAGTTAGCAGTTAGCTTAACTAGCGGTGAAATGTGGCGGTTTTTAATTGGAGTCAGCCAGCCTTCCAAAAGAAAACTCGTCGAACTGGAAGAAAAACCACCAGGACCAGTGGCAACCAGAAGATTTTGTGAAAAGTGGCGAACTGGAGACGGCGGAGTCGTGAGACAATGGCTACATTATGATGGCCACGTAGCGTTGCTGCCTTTCAGACACTTTTTCTGCTCGTGCTGCAAACAGGATAGCCGTCTTCTATCAACTGTCCCTCGGCATTCTTCAAATATCCAATAAATGCCCGTACTTCCTTCTTTGTCTTCTTTGAGGGATAATAAATGTCCCGAGTGCTGCCGTCTCCTCCTGCCATTATTTCAGCTTTAGCTTAAAGAAAGTTTTGGTTGTAAACAACAAAGTGCGCATGTGCCGCCGGCTACTTCAGCAGATGATACGGTGGCTGGTAAGGGTCACAGCACCTACACCGCAGCCACGGTAATCACCGAGATAATTTTTTTTTTAAAAACAAGACGGTTATTATTATTGTCAGCTTTTTTACCGGGGTTTACCGCTACACCGGTTACCGTGACAACCCTAGCCCTGACATACTTTCAGATCTTCTCATGGTGCAGCTGTGTTCTCCAGAGATCAAGGACTAGGACCCAAATGAGGCTGTAAGGCTTTGGCACAAAGACGGTGTCAGAAGCAGGAGGCCAGACTTCATGGACAGAGAAAACAAGGAGTCTGACTAGATTTCAATGAAAGAGTTCATAAAAACATCTCTAAAAATAAATAAATAAATAAATAGTAAAAATGACAAAAGAGTTGTTTTCCTTATTAATTGATGTTTTAATTATTTTGTCACTCTGTTTGGAATCAACATAATATAGAATAACATGCTTTAGGTAGATCTAAATCATTTAGAGTTTTGGCCGGTAAAAAATATGCTTGGCCGCTAGATTTTCATCATCTACCAGCCAACTTGGCCGGTGAGTAAAAAATTTAATTTCAGACCCTGGATGTGCTACAGATGTTTACTCGTGCATGCGGGACTCCCCACTGGCTGATTCTACTCACCAATCAGAGGCGTGAATTTCAGCCGTTAGCGGATACCGTCTCTCTGGTGCCGTTGCTCCTGCCTGCCTTTACTTCCAGTTTCTATTTTCAGCCCTGAGACCTGTCAGATCTTTACCAACTCACATACTAACATGGTTTGTTGCCTGAAATGACGTTTTCTCTAACCTGTGGCTTCTTTCTGTTCTTCCTCTGCTGCCTTTCCCCTAAAGCTGGTGCCAACAATGGAAGAGATGGTAAGTGTTTTGCTTTTGTTTTACCAAAGAATGTTTCAAAGGAGCGATGAGCTAGTTTGGCTCTTGTTGTCAAAGCTAATGACGCTGAAACCGAAGGTTTAACTCGAGCTGCTGCACCAACTTCTGGCTCTCACAGATGAATTTTGAATAATTCACCACAGGTGACAGAAAACAAGACCAAACATGCAAATGGTGTTCTTATTTATTTATTTATTTGTTTGTTCTCCTTCTTAGTTTTTTAAATAAAGTTACGTACGTTTTGACCCACTTCATAGCAACATTTGTTCTACTCGACAAAAACATGATCCGTTACATTTCCTTCGGTCTGTAAGGAGCCGGCTCTCTGGTATTCTGTTCACCTGCTCGTTTCCTGTCCGGTCCGTGTGCCGGACTGTTTTAACTGGATGTAATCTGGCTGGGCGGTCCGGCCCGTTACAAACCCTGAGTGCTAGGCGTTGTGGTAAGGGCTAACATAAAAACTGATGCTGAGAAAGGAGGGGTGAGTGTAAATAAGATATTTATTTTTACAAAAAGCAACCAAAATACACAGTCCTAGACTGTAAAAGTTCAAACGACAAACGCACTTCTAATCTAACTAAACAAAAACGCACGACGGAGATAACAATTAACTAAAAACAAAATCTCAACAGCTAGCAATATTCAACAAGACTAAACGAAAAGCGAGCTATCGAAGCTGGAAACGAAAAATGCCTCACTGGGGCCGAACCCAACGGGATCTCTAAACAAACACACACGGCTACTAGTCGCTATAATCCAATTCTATTCCAAGCTAATCCGAATTTAACTAATCTACAGTGGAGGGGGGACTCACCTGCAGTTGGGTCTGGTTACCTGAGAGCGACCACAGGACACCACCTGGTGTGGGATGAGGGGCGTCGAGCGTTGTGGTTGGCAGGTGAAGCTGCCGTCTAGCGCTTCCCGGGGTTGTACTCTGGCTCCGTGAAGCGGCCCATCATGGTGCTGAGGTCAGGGTAAAACACAGTCTTAGCCCGAGTGTGTGAAAACAAACAACACGTGTTTTTATGAACAAAGTCCAGTCAACCAGCATGTCAGCAGACACCCTGCTGGTGTAAGAGCCTGGCCGTTGGTGGTGCAACAGGATCTCCCTCCCTCAGCGGTGTCCTCTGTCCAGGCTGAGTCAGCTGATCCCACTGCTTTTAAACGTGTGCGGCAGCATTTTAGATACCAGTAGAAGCAGTAAACCCAGACAGAGCTACAGACTGAGCTATGAACGTCACTGTGAAAGAAAACACCGCCCTACACCATGGCTGTCATGAGCTACGCTACCCACGGATACTCTGTGCCACTGTTTCCACTTGCCAAAGTCAACCTGTCCATCCCAAATGAGCAGGTCACTTGCAGGAGACTGCTATCCTACCGGTGACCAGAACATGCTGGACTGAAGGACAGTCCCGAGGCTCTGATCATGGCAGCACAGAAGCTGCACCACTAGATGGGACCCTGATTTTAGAGTTCCCTCAGCACCTTTCTTTTTGTGTACAGAGAAGAACTGGTGCTAAGGGTGGTAGATGTTCTGCTTTTACACACATCCTACTGATGACACGCGTGTGTTTTCCAGGAGCAGGAGCTGGAGTCCAGTAAGAAGGACAAAATAACCGAGGCCCGGCTGGAGGCAGAGAGCCGCCTGTATAAGAAAGAGAATGAAGCGCTTCGCAGACACATCGCCGTTCTCCAGGCTGAGGTGTATGGCGCCAGACTGGCTGCTAAGTACTTGGACAAGGAGCTGGCTGGCAGGTAAGGTTCAGTTATGACTGAAACCAGCTTGTTGTTTAACGGTGATGATTATAACCGACACCTAATGAAAATCCCAAATCCAGTAGCTCAGAAAATCAGAATATCAGTTAAGGCCGACTGAAAGTCTGATCATGAAAACTCTGAGCATGCACGTCACTCAATCTTAAGTTGAGCTCCTTTGGCCTGGATTACTGCAGCAGTGCAGTGAGGCATGGAGTCCATCAGTCTGTGAAACTGCTCAGGTGTTATGAGAGCCCATGGGGCTCTGATGGTGGCCTTCAGCTCTTCTGAATTGTTGGTCTGGCATGTTGCATCTTCCTCTTCACAATACCACACAGTTCTTCTGTGGGGTTTGGGTCAGGCCAGTTTGCTGGCCAATCAAGAACAGGGCTACTATGGTCCTTAACCCAGGTACTGGTAGCTTGGGCTGTGTGCAGGTGCCAGGTCCTGCTGGAAAGTGAAATCTGCATCTCCATTAAGTTCTTCAGCAGCTTGAAGCATGAAGTGTTCTTGAACCTCCTGGTAGACGGCTGCATTAATCTTGGACCTCAGAAATGGACCAACACCAGCAGAAGACCTGACACCCCAACCATCACTGACTGTGGAAACGTTTAAAGTTTATTTATTTAGCAGACGCTTTTATCCAAAGAGACGTACAATAGTTAACCTATAGGGCATGTTGATATCTGTGGGGGTAACCGGAGTACCCAGAGGAAACCCACACATGCATGGGGAGAACACGCAACTCCACGCTGAAAGGCTGCAGCCAAGTTTTGAACCTGCAACCTTCTTGCTGCGGGGCAACAGTGCTAACCACTGCACCACCATGCAGCCCTTTACACTAGACCTCAAGCAATGTGGATCACGTGTCTCTCCTGTCTTCCTCCAGACTCTGGAATGTACTTTCATCAGAGAACATAACGTTGGACCGGTCAGCAGCAGTCTAGTCCTATTTGTCTTTAGCCCAGGCTAGATGCTTCTGACGTCGTCTCTTGTTCAAGAGTAGCTTGACACAAGGAATCCGACAGCTGAAACCCTGTCTTGCATACGTCTGTGTGTGGTGGTTCTTGTAGCACTGACTCTAGCTGCTGTCCACTCTTTGTGAATCTTTCCACATTGTTGAATGGGTTAGTGTTAGGCAATCCTCTCCAGGGTGTAGTTATCTCTTGCTTGTACATTTTTTCTTCCACATCCATTTACCTCTCTATTGTAGCGTTATTAAGATCCTATCGTCTGCCCTTAACAGCTGCCCCTTCACACAGTAACAGCGTGCATGAATCGCCAAGGTCGGGTTCTTGTTTCTGAATGTTTACATTCCAGGAAAGGAGACAGAAGAAGGAAGAAGAATGCTTTTCATTAATTAATCCAAGAACTTTATTTGTGATAAGCTAATCAAAACATATGTTGATCAATAATAATCAGGTTAGTGGTCTGTGAAATCAAGATGTCATGATTTATGTGTTTAATGAATAAACAGGACTGTGCACCAGACATACGGATCCACAGAACATAGAAACGCATGACACATTGTTCTCATCCAATCAGAGCTTCCGTCTGTTGCGGGGCAGAATCTGGGCTGTTTATTTAAATCGTCCACTCCGATTTGCTAAGATTTATAAACAACTAAGTTAATAAAACAGAGCAACGCCATTTTAACTTCAGTTCCATCTGAGTTCCAACGGAGTTACATCATAGACTCAACGTAGTTTCAACCAGCTCTCAATCCTCATCGCTAAAGGAGATTACAGCCTGGCCAGCTGTGTTTTTCTACTTTAAGCTGAGAACTGTCAAGCTGGAATTTCTGTCGTTTGAACAACAAGACGAGACGGTTCCTTCACAATAAAAGCTGAACGCGCTGAGACCTGCCGCTACTGCCGGAGCTATCCGTAGACGGGTTTGTCGTGCTGCAGACGCTGTTTCATCAGTCCAGTACCAAAGAGGTCCGAGGACCTGACATTCCTGATCTGACCGCGGGAGACTCCATACGGTACGTAGACATGGCACGAGATGGCGTTTCATGTCAAGAGCTTCTGAAGCCCTCGTGGTTCCTAGTCTAAACATCAGACACCCAGATCCGCCTGCCTCAGCCTGGAGATTCTGAACACACACACACACTCACACACACACACACACACACACACACACACAGACACACAGACACACACACACAGACACACACACACAGACACACACACACACACACAGACACACAGACACACACACACACACACAGACACTTCAACATTCAAATCCATATGCATCCATCATAGAGAGTTAGTCCTGGTAGATTGTTTGAATTTATAATTATAGAAATTAAAGATTCTTGAACGATCCCAACTCTCTCTTTTCTTGTCTCTGAGTCAATACAAAGTGTTTAAAAAAACTCCCTGAAGTAAAAACAACCTCTTCTGATTATAACATCTGGACCTAATAACAGTGCAAGAGTATACAACTATATTCCACTACACTATTAATGTGCTAGGACACAGAGCCAGACTCTTTAGCAATGACCTTTAGTGTCTTGCCCTCCTTGTACAAGGTGTCAAAGGTCGTCTTTAGGACAACTGTCAAGTCTTCCCCATGATTGTGTAGCCTACAGGACTAGACTGAGAGACCATTTAAAGGCATTTGCAGGTGTTTTGAGTTCATTAGGTGATTAGAAAGTGGCTCCACAGCTCTTCAGTATTGAACCTTTTCATAATATTCTAATATTCTGAGATACAGAATTTGGGATTTTTATTAGATGCCATTTACCAGAAAGTTTAATAACAATAAATTTTCTATTTATTGCCCAGCCCTGCTGGGGAGTTTGGCTCAGGTGCAAAAAGAAGGAACAATAACACAAGGTTAAAAGGTAAACAGATGATCAGGTTTATGTACAAAAATAATTAAAGGGGCTATAAGGAAGTGTGACAGCCAAAACATGTATAGAAATAATAAATGTCTTCTTCATACGTTCTCCTGCAATGCCCTGGTCCTGTAGAATGAGCCCTGGCATTTTTACTGGGATTGCCTGTTTTTCTGTAAAATCACAGAAAAAGAGAGATGCTCGGGTCGAGCAGGCTGCTTCATGCGCGTTCACGCTCAGGCATCGCCCGTAGCATTTGCTATCCGTAGCTTTAGCAGCAGAGAGAGAGGCAGTGCCACTTTGTCGCTGTTCCTAACGCCTAGTGACAAAGCTAGCTACATTTCTGAGGACCCTTAGCTACTTTCTGTAGAACTTTCTTCTAGATATTTCCTGCTAATTAGCAACAAAACAGCCATTTTCACTCCGAACCGTTCTTTGGTTTGACGTTGTTTCAGCTGTCATCAAGGATATAAACGTTACAGATACTGTGAATGTTACTAGAGTGTAGCTCACCTAGTAAGATGTCTGACTCTCATGCAGAAGACCTGGGTTTGATTCTGGGTGTGAACATAGTTCATTTAGTTTATTTTTTACATTAATGGTATATTTTTACAGTAAGACGCCCAAATTTTTATTTGAGACTCGCCGAACGGCGTTGAATTCACAGATAAAAAAGATGTGGGTTCAACTTTCATTTTGGAACAATTTTTCAAGCAAGGGAAGGGAATGATCTGAGCATGCAGGAGGACTGACCCATCATAAACCTTTGTCGGCTGTGCTGAAGAGAAAGGTACAGAACCAAATTATTTAATTAATTAGCTGCGTGTTCTCCTGTCCTCTGTCCTCCGGGCCACACACACACACACACACACACACACACACACACACACACACACACACACACACACACACACACACACACACACACACACACACACACACACACACACACACACACACACACACACACACACACAAACACACACACACACAGGACTGTCTCAGCTGTTATTTTCGTTTAGGAGTGTGCACGTACAGCATGCGCGCCTCGTGCACGAGCTTACTATTGAAGCTGCCGTTACGCTTTTGACCTGAGGGGGCAGTCACGAGCATAAAAATCCAAAAGTCCGTAAAGTCCCTTTAAATATTTCAACAGTCAAAAGATGTCCCACTAAAACTGAGAAAGATTCCTCGGTTCTAAAGACCAAAATAAGGATCTCAAAAGGTACAAACTCAAAAATGGGTGATTAAACCAAACTAAAGGAGATATCTTTAACTAAACAAAAAACCCACAGCACTCTACTACTCCATACAAAAGATCAACTTTAAACTCTAAACCACTGCATCTGCAGTGATGCGGGCGTTGTACCGGTCTGTCGTGGTGAAGAGAGAGCTGAGTCAGAAGGGAAAGCTCTCGATTTACCGGTGGATCTACGTTCCTACCCTCACCTATGGTCGTGAGCTTTGGCTCAAAAGAACGAGATTGTAGATACAAGCGAAAAACATGTTTTCTCCAAAAGGTGGCTCTGCTCTCCCTTAGAGGTAGGATGAGGAACTCGGTTATCCTGGAGGGGCTCGGAGTAGACCCGCTGCTTTTCCACATCGAGAGGAGGCAGTTGAGGTGGCTCGGGCATCTGGTTAGGATGCCCCCTGGACGCCTCCTTGGGCAGGTTTTCTGGGCATGTCCAACCAGGAGACCACCTAAAAGAAGACCTAGGACACCTAGAATACTTCTGTATTCCTCACCTGTATCAACTCACCTACCCCTAAATAAGTATCAGTGATTTCCAGACTTATGTGTAAAAGTCAAATGCAAGGCTTGTTTTAACCTTTAAGTCCACTCCTCAGGGTGCAGCAGATCCAGTTACTTGGTCGTGACATGAAGGGGCCAGCTCACGACAAGCTTTGGAATCAGCTGGAGGCAGAAATTCATCTTCATCGCCATAAAACTGTGATCCGAGCATGCAGAGGTCGCAGCGACCCAAAGAAACCTCTACCATCTCCCGTGGGACACGTAAGTGGGAAGTTACACAGCAGATAATACCGCTAACATCAGTGCTTTGGTCCTGAAACTGGCTTTTATATGTGATCGCAGGAGCCTGACACTCTAAAGAAAACCCAGGGAGTGGGTCCAATCAGGAAGGTGGTGTTGGTCAAAGAAGACCATGAAGGCCTTGGAATCTCCATCACAGTAAGAACGATTCCAGCATTCACTTATGGCCCTTTTCCACTAGAGCCTAGTCAGCGTGGCTCATCTCAGCTCAGGTCGGTTCTCGTAGCCGCCTTTATAAACCCATGCCACCAGTTTGATGCAATGCTGAACTGGCATCAGGGAGCCTTAAGTTGTTTATACGTGGCCAGACCGTGGCGGTTCTGGTGCAGTTGTTTCCTTTTTACAAAAGAGTATACAGTGGTGGTATAAATGAGGTATTGGGGCAGTCTCTGTGCTGCCATGGACTTCCGCAAAACTTGGACGTATCTTGCTTTTTATTGCAATCAAAGCCACTGATGCCCTACTACATGCTACTGGATGTTACACCCTTGCCTGGCTAGGAGGTCCAGGAAGGAGTAACACAGGTTAGATAGGACTTCACCAGAATAAAAGAAGAGGAGGAGGGCATAGCCGCCACTCAACAAAATAGTTAATTTAACTGAAATAGTCCCTCAACAAAAGGAAGAAGTTTAAACATAAATCACCATGAAATGAAAATCGTTCTAAGGATTGTAACTAAAGGAGGTTGGTCTAAAACAACAAGAAGTAGAGCCGGTGAGTAAGGCAAGCAGTAAAGTGATTTAAAAGAGATCACTCCAATAAAGTGAAACCAGCAAGTTGTACAATTATAGCAAGACAACAAGCTTAACTAAAGCTATCTGTAAGCTATAGGCTCTTCAAAGTTTATCTCAAAGTTTTAAAAGTCTCTTCTATGCCAAAGCTACCCTGCGGCTACGGAGGGCACTGGACTAATCCAGAGTCCCCCTGAACAGATGACTAATGTCAGTCTTTAAAGGCTGGATCATCATGGCCTGATAGGCTCCAGCTGGGGATCTGGCAGGAAGCTTCAGCCAGAGTGCTGCTCTCCATGGTGCTGAACTGTCTGCTGCAGGGAACTGTCCGTGTGCTGAGGCAGCAACAGGAATAGCAGTCGGTCGGTAACAAGATGGCGCCTGTGCTTGGCTGAGCTGCGGTCAGCGGCCACTTTTTCAAACTTTTCTCCACTAACCTCCTCTTTTCCACCTTGCTCCTGTCTGCGATCCTCTTCAGTAGTGTCCCTGCTACCATCTCCTATGATCGCCAGACTCTTTTGTCCTTCCGTTCGTTCACAATCGCCCAAGACGCAGACGTACCATCCAATCGACGATCCAGAGCTGCGCACCTCTAGCGATGTTTATCCGGTCCCGGGAAAACGTCGGAGGAAAAGAGGTAAACGAGCAGGAATCCAGGTGAGAATAAGACTTCTCTTAAAGCGTGGTTTATCTGGTAAACATCGGCGCGATCTTCTAGCTTCTTGTCCTTTATTTGGTGACCTGAGCGCCACTTCCACATTCCCGCCAGGCCGCGTTGCAGCGCGGTTCATCCGTCCAAGTTTTTTAAGGTCGGTTTCTCCTCATTCCTCAGTGGTTTCTCCTCCTGTTCCCTCCATAAGTGGTTTTTATAAACACCGTGGATCTAACCCTGCTAATTTACGTCCACTAACTCCAGCTGTTTGTGTAGTTTCTGATTCCTCCACCTCACTCAGCATGGCTCTATTAAACACCCGCTCTGTTATCAGTAAGACCTTCCTGCTCAATGATCTAATTCTCTCTAAAAACCTGGATTTTCTGTTTCTGACTGAAGTTTGGCAGCAAACATCTGATTATTCTGCTCTGATTGAACTCTGCCAGAGTGGTTATTCTTTTCTTAGCCAGCCCTGGGGTTCTGGTGGTGGTGGAGGCCTAGCTGTTGTTTTCAGAGACCATCTTCCATGTAGCTCTACAACCTCTGGTCACTTTGCTTCCTTTGAACTGCAGCTGATTAAAGTCGGGCGTAAGGACCCGTTCTACTGTGCTGTGGTCTATCGTCCACCTGGTCCAAACAGTTCTTTCCTTCAGGAGTTTAGTGACTTTCTATCCTCCACTGTGAAGCTGTCCAGACTGGTGATTGTTGGTGACTTTAACATCCACGTTGATGATCCCTCCGATCTCTTTGCCATGAATTTCTCCAGCCTTATGGACTCCTTCAGCTTTACCCAGCATGTTTCTGGCCACACACACACCAGGGGACACACTCTAGACCTTGTTTTAACCCTGAGTCTAAATGCTGACAGTGTTTGTCTTGAGGACGTTTATATTTCAGATCACCATTGCATTTTCTTGTCAGTTTCTGCGTCCCCACCTCCTGCTCGCCGTATGGTTAGTTCTCGTTTTCTTAATGAGAGCACAGCTAGCAATGTTTCTGCTGCTTTTGATCCACCCTGTTCTTCTGATAACGACCCAGATTCCTTAACTTCTCAGTTTAACGAGCACTGCCTCTCCATTCTGGACAACATCTGTCCTGTCAGAACCAGATGAGTTCCTGCAGTGAACCCTACTCCCTGGTTTAAGGACAGCCTTCGCAGCCTGAAGCACCAATGCAGAAAAATTGAGCGTTTGTGGAAGAAGACCCATCTCCACGTCCATCTGCTGCACCTAAAGGATCTTCTGACATCCTTTAACTCTGCAGTCAGAGACGCTAGGGTTTCCTATTTCTCCAACCTGGTGTCCCAGAGCAAAGGGAACCCCAAGGTGCTGTTTAACACCATCAGCAGCATCGTCTCTCCTGCCTCTCCTACAGCCTCCATCCACTCTGTTGCAGACTGTGAGAACTTTCTGTCTTTCTTTGTGGACAAAGCCAATAAGGTTAGATCTAGCATCTCTCCTTCAGCCTTATCGCCGCCTCTCCCGACTCCAACCAGGCCCATCATCCTAGATAGCTTTGCTCCTGTTTCTTTGCCTGAGTTAACCAAACTAGTTAACTCTATGAAGACCTCTGCATGCCCCCTCCACATCTTACCCTCATCTTTGTTTAAAAGTGCTTTTCAGTCCATCGGTCCCAGCGTGCTCTCTATAATTAATGCTTCTCTGGTTTCTGGTCAGGTCCCTGCTTACTTTAAGAACGCTGTAATCCACCCGCTTCTTAAAAACCGAGTCTCGACCCCTCTCTCCATAGCAGCTTCAGACCCATCTCTAAACTTCCGTTCATCTCCAAGATCTTGGAAAAGGTTGTGGCTAAACAACTCACAGCTGCTCTTGATGAACATTGTTGCCAGTCCCCACATGCCAAAGACAGTGGCAAGTACGGGGTCAAAAGGTGAGCCACACTGGACTGGCTTGTGCAAGCAAAATCAGCCAGCTGACAGGAGCTGGGCTGCAGGTCAAAAAACTGTGGTCAGAAACAAGGGTCACAGGAGGGTCAAGAGGACAAGAGTTCAGAACTTGCTGTCGGGGACAGAACTAGGCAAAAGGTCAGGCTGGCTGGCCCCACCCCTGGATCCACCCCTGGCTTGGAAAGATGGGATTGGAGGAGAACAGAGTGAAGACAAGCCCATCAGATCCAGAAGCCCTCTCAGGAGCATTGGAGGGAAACTGAAGATGTAATGAAGAATGCTGCATGTAACGATTTGTGCCCTCATGTGAATGCTGCATGTAGTGAAAATGATACCAAATGTCTTGTGTTGAGCTAAAAAGTGTGTATCTGGTAAATGACCCCATGACCTCTCTGTCATGAAGTAATGATATGTGCCTTTTACCTTGTCTAAGCTGGCCCAAGAAGGCTATATAAGAACAGCTCTGAACAGCAGAGGAAGAGTTTAGATTCGACAAGCAGCTGGGGCAGACGACAAGAAGAGACGGAGCAGATTTGGAGGCGTCATCCCCCGTCCTGCTGGATGGGGGATGACAGGTGAGGAGTTTGGACAGAGGTTTTAAGTAGTAGTTTGGGGAGATTCTCAGAAGATAGGAGCTGGTGTAAACCAACTCTCTTATTTAATCATTTTGAACTAATTCCTCCTTGGGGGATAGCGGTTGTTTTTATATTTACTCATTTTTGTATTTTTCTATTTTGTAATAAACTTTTTTGGAAAAGAAACATAATCCTGATTATTTCAGGTTTTCTCTAAAGCTTCACGAGTGGGGAGCCCTGACCATTAATTGCACAGAGGTAAGCACATTAATTATGGGTTCTGGAATTATCAGGACTTACTTTACAGTTTGTGACAGATTAATATAAAGAAACCTTAATATAAGGGGAGCTTGACTCCTCCCTCACCCGCGAGTAACGAGTTGTCTTAAGGATGATAAAACCAGAACATTAGTGGTTAATTTTGGCTCTGATTCGCAAGTTGAAAAAGTCTCTATCAGCTGGAGGGTTGGATTAATTAAATAAATTGATAAATTTATGTTAGTCTGATCAACTAACAAAAATCATTTTATAGTTACCAACCACCCATATAAGCTGCTAGGGGCGCAATTAATCCAAATAACCCAAAGAATTGCCGGAAGGGTTGGCTTCCCGCCGGGCTTCGTCCCTAGTATTTAAACCAAAAAATAACGGGATTGCTTAAAAAGAAGTGAGCTACTACAGAGGGAAAAGTCTTGCATATTATTTCACCTTTAAAATAAAAGATATGATTCTAACCTAGGACGCCCAAACCAGGGTCTAATACGATAATACTCACTGACATCCCCATTGAACCCTGATGGATGCACAGTCTCATAAGTTCTAACGGAACTGGGTTTTAACGGAACCGGTAAATGGGACGTGCACGTGACAACATAACATCTATGATAGCTTCCAGTCAGGTTGTCGTAGAGCTCATTCTACTGAAACAGCTCTTCTTAGGGTCTCTAATGACCTTCTGACCCACAGTGATGCAGGGGACTGTTCTGTTCTGGTCCTGCTGGACCTGACTGCAGCCTTTGACACTGTTGACCATCACCTGCTACTGGAGAGGCTGAGAGACTGGGTAGGCCTATCAGGATCTGCTCTGGAGTGGTTCTCCTCTTATCTCTCTGAGAACTCCTTCTCTGTGGCCGTCTCCAAGTTTAGGTCCTCCACCACCTCTCTTACCCATGGTGTCCCACAAGGTTCTGTGCTGGGGCCTCTGCTCTTCCTCCTCTATCTGCTTCCTCTTCAGCACATCCTGAGCTCCTTCAAAGGAATCTCCTACCATCTTTATGCAGATGACATCCAACTGTACATCTCCTTTAAGCCCCATGAGATGTCTAAGCTGCAGCTGTTACACACCTGCTTAGACTCTATCAAAACCTGGATGGTGGGAGCTTTCTTCAGCTGAATGAAGATAAGACTGAGATCCTCATCTGTGCCCCAGACAAGCTGGTTCCCAAAGTCAGAGACTCTCTTAGTCAGCTTGCTTCCCACACCAAACCTTCAGTCAGGAATCTTGGCGTGACCTTTGACCCAGCTCTTCCTTCTTCCATCTCAGGAACGTTGCTAAGCTGAGTCCCATTCTGTCCCGCTCTGAACTTGAGACAGTTCTCCACACCTTCATCTCCTCACGCTTAGACTACTGTAACTCTCTTTTCACGTGTCTGAGCAGAACCTCCCTGAACCGTCTACAGGTGGTTCAGAACGCCTGTGCTCGGCTTCTGACCAAGTCCTCCAAACACACCCACATCACCCCGCTTCTCCTCCAGCTTCACTGGCTGCCAGTCAACTTCAGGGTTCATTTCAAGATCCTGGTTCTGGTCTATAGGGCCTTACATGGACAAGCACCATCTTACATTGGTGATCTTCTTAGTGCCTACACCCCCAGCAGGTCCCTGAGGTCCAGTGACCAAAGCCTACTGGTTGTGCAGCACCAGGCTAAAGGTCAAAGGTGACAGATCATCTGCTGCTGTGGCCCCCAGACTCTGGACCTCTCTCCCCCTGAGCCTGAGATCAGAGGACTCAGTGGTCTCCTTTAAACTCACCTGTTCAGGCGTTTGTATGACCCTCTTCATCACCCTCTCATTCTGCTCTCTCCACCTATTCCACCTTCCTCAGGATCCACTGATTTCCCTCTTTCCTGTTCACTCTCTCTCTTTCTTAACTTTTTTTAAATCACAACTGTCTATTTTTGCTCATTTTAAATATAGTTTTGTCCATTTCCTAAATTCTCTTTTATATTTTTTTACATTTTTTGTTTTTGTGAAGCGCCTCGTTTTTATCTTGAGAGGCGCTATAGAAATGATATTTTCTTCTTCAGTCCTGAAATGGTCCAGTGGGTAGCTGGACGTCTCACATGGGGACCAGAACTCACAGGGCTCGTAACCATCTACATATATTTTGGAAAATTCCTGTCCATAGGCTCATTTTATAAGTTTTTAATCTGAAATGGGAGGTGGCCACACACCCATTTTGACCGTGTCACGCGTCTCATCACACCCAGACAATTCCATAAAAGGTAAAAGAGGTGGAGCTGAGGGTGGGGCTGTAAGGCTGGGATCAAATGACGACACCTGTCGAACTGAAGCGATGTAGCTACAAGCTAACCCAAAGCTAACGCGGAGGTGGGAGCTAAGCTAACAAAGGCAGCTACCTACAGTGTACACATACTAGAGGTGTGAATCTTCACTAGTCTCCTGATTCAATTACAGTTTTAGGGATTGAACCTGCAACATTCCGATTACTGGAGAACCTTCTCAACCTGTTGAGCTACTGCTGCCCAATAAAGGCGTTGCTGCTGAGGGCTAAGGGAATAGATGGCTCAGAGCTATGATTCTGTGTAAGTTTAGCAACTGTACTGAAAAGAAATTTAGGATTATGCTTATTCTCCTCAATGCTGAGAAATAAGCAGTTCTAGTTTGTTGAAGCTTATTTTTATAAAGCACAAGACTATTTTTCCAGGACAGGTAGGCCTCCTCCTGGTACGTAGAGCGCCATGTTCTCTCCAATTTCCTAGAGTTTTGTTTTAAGGCTCGTAGATGAGAATTAAACCAGGGAGCCAACTTCCTGTCCCTAATTACCTTCTTCTTTAAAGGGGCAACATCATCTAATGCCACACGTAAAGAGGAATTAACATGATGAACTAAGGCATCAACTTGTGAGGGGCTAGAACTGAGAATGTTGCCCTCTGCTACGTTCCTCTGAGATGCTGAGGACAGTAAAGACGCAACAGCGTTGTCAGATAGAGGCCGACTATAGTGAAATCTACTTTCATGTCTCATTAGGAAAACTCATGAGATGTTCAAAAGAACTGTAGCAATTATTGGTAAGAGGTTCATTAATAGATGTGAATGAAAAAGGATTGCTGTTGCTGCTCTCCTCATGCATGCCCTAGACAGTAAGTGACTGAACCAAGGGAACCATAGCAAAGTGGCTTTTAAAGAACTGGGCAGCAACCAGCGACCCATTACTAGTGGAAAACCCTTGGACCCGGAATGAACCGAGCCAGGCTGAGTAGGTGCTCGTGGAGAAGGGCCATAAATAGCTTCAGTGAAACGGGTATCACAGAAAGAAAGGTGTAAATGTGTCTGGACCAGAACATCAGCGCGTCTTTCCGTTAAACACAGACAGCTTTAAAAGTCTCTCTAGCTTTGTGAAGTAAACGTCTCTAACATAATGGCTGGGACCCTGATTATGATGCATGTGCATAAACACCACCACCACACCGAGTGGTGTCTGGTTCCTGGTGTAGTCATGTGATCTGGAGTGGCTGTTCCCGCTCCGACTGTACGTAGACACCATGTGATCCCTTTGTTCTTCAGGGTGGGAAGGAGCATGGTGTTCCCATTTTAATCTCAGAGATCCATCCGGGTCAGCCTGCAGACAGATGTGGAGGTCTCCATGTGGGGGATGCCATCCTGGCTGTCAACAGTATCAACCTACGCGACGCTAAACACAAAGAAGCTGTCACCATCCTCTCCCAACAGGTAAACCAGCCACACATTCTCCACAGCTGTGTGCGTGTGTGTGTGTGTGTGTGTGTGTGTGTGTGTGTGTGTGTGTGTGTGTGTGTGTGTGTGTGTGTGTGTGTGCGTGTGCGTGTGCGTGTGTGTGTGCGTGTGCGTGTGTCTCAACCATTAATGTTAGACCAAGCCTGTGGTGTCTTATGAGTGATGTATTTTAATGCCTGAAGGAGTCTCAATTCAAGTTTATTAATAAAGCTCAAAGTCACGACAAGAGTCGTCTCAAGGACCTGCACACACAAACATCCCAACACAGGTCAGGTCATGAAGCCAATCAGTAACAAGTTTCCTATATAAGGAACCCAGCAGGTTGCATCAAGTCACTGACTAGTGTCAGTGACTATACAGCAATCCTCATACCAAGCAAGCATGCAGCGACAGTGGAGAGGAAAACTCCCTTTTAACAGGAAGAAACCTCCAGAGAATCCTGGCTCAGTATAAACAGCCATCCTCCACGACTCACACACACACACACACACACACACACACACACACACACACACACACACACACACACTCACACACACACACACACACACCAAGTAATGTGTCTATAGTTACATGGTGATGTCTTAGTAAATATTCTATTTGGTGAGAGATAAACTTTATTGTATTTATCCTAGTGGATCTATAATTAAACGGGTAAACTAGTAGTAGCACATCCAACGTCAAGGAAAGCAAAAAGTTATTATCAGGAGAGGGAGAATGTTTAAGTGGTTAGCAGCAGTGTGCTAGACGACGGCCCCCTCCATGAGGCCACCACAGCTCAGCAGAACATCGTTGGAGCTTCTTCTGGGGAGAAAAACATGGATGGGACATCACAAACTTCATCTACTCATCATCACAACTCGTTCTATGTGCGTATGTTCCATACTGTTAGAAGTCTGGGATTCCAGTCATGTTGTCCAATCAAAACTGTAGACACAGTAAATGCGTTTGTAAACCACTCAGAAGTACAAAGTAACGTGTAACTCGTGGTTCAAAGCCTTGTACCGTTGACGGAACAGAACCAAGGGTCCGATTATGTCCTCCTAGCATGGTTGGTCCACAGCTCTGGGCTTTTATTTACCGAGAAGACCTTCTGCAGGAAGATCATGGAGCTGTTGGCTGATGAGGCCACACGATGTCCTGCCCGTGTGATTGTGTTAGCAGTGTACTTGCCACCCTCTGCTAACGCCTCAGCAGCCTGTGAGGTCATCCCCACGGTGACCGGCAGCCCCAGAACCTCCTCTGCTGCAGCAAACTCGTCAGCTATTGGCTGAAAGATTAAAAGTACTTCTTCCTTTTCTCACACATGTAGCCTGAGCCGTTTGCAACCACGTGTTTTGTTGACTGACGCATCAGCCAGGGCACAACAAAGTCTCACGTGGACCCCTCGTGGTCTGCCTCTTCCAACTGAGTAAGAACAATTGTGATTGGCTGGTTGCTCCAGGCAGTGTCGGGCCCACAAAATGTCTACATGTCACCTGTGAATAAAGCACCGTCATCATTTCTGGATTAAATTATATCATTTTTAAGCTGGAGCTTCGTCTTGTCGACTCTGTGTGCTTGTGCAGTCTATAGGAGGATCTTTGTTGACGTCTGCTTTCATCTTAGTGCGCATGCGCGAGTGGCGGGGCGGCTAAACAAACCTATCAATACGTACGTAAACGTTTAAGAGTTTACGGACAAAATCCTTCATCTATTAACACTTCAACTTCTAAAGACAAGAGGAGGGACAGTAAGTGATTAAAAGCCTGCATGAGATCTGAGATGAGGTGAAACGATTCGCCGGAGCTTTGTTTTCACAAATGATCTGTGGAGACGTTTATTCCTGCTCAGCAGAGCGCCCCGGAGCGCTTACTCACGGAAAATCAAAGTCTGGAGGCCTACGGTTATCTTGTCATGCTAATAGCAACAGTTAGCGCTGATGAGCAGAACCACAGCGTTGTTTACATCACCTGCAGGTGAAAACAGGTGAATCCTCCTTAATCTGTGTCCTTGTTTACTTCTTTATTATTATTAAGATGGCGGATTGAGACGCCCGAGTCAGAACAGGAACACAGGACTTGGTGGATTTAGAAGTACGGAGATGAATGTTTTAGAAAACATCTCCTCTAACGAACAAACACTGAGTCACAAACTGTCCGTCGCTGCAGGAGTCCAGGCTTTCCTCTGAGCGTCCGGGTCGTTCCCCATCATCTCTTTGGTGTTTTCTGGTCGTTTACGGAGGAAATTCCAGTAAAAGTTTTTATCAACCTCCCACGGACCAAACTATAAGCCACGCCGTAGGAATGATCCATCTGCTTCGTTAATCCTCCTCCAAACATGCTAGACGTCAGAATTATAGGGAACATGCGACGTTTCTGGCCACACACTACCGTGATGAGACGCATACAGACGTCAGGAGATCCTCTAGCAGTGATGCCTGATATATGCCAGCCTTGTGTTACTGCAGCACATGAAGGTGTGTGTGTTTGTGTCAGCGAGGCCAGATAGAGTTTGAGCTGGTGTACGTCGCTCCGGAGGTGGACAGCGACGACGAGAACGTGGAATACGAGGATGACAGCGGCCATCGTTACAGACTCTACCTGGATGAGCTGGAGGACGGTAGCAGTGCTGCAGCACCCAGCAGCAGCTCGGCGCCGCTTCAGGGTACGTTCTCTCACCACCACACTCAACGCCAACCACACCTAGAGCCGCCAACCCCTTTCTGAAAAACCCTGGGTTTTCATTGGTGGTTGGCCTGCTTCAGCCCGCCTGCTCAAGGAGCTTTGTCCCATAAGCAACCACGCACACACACACATGCACGCACGCACACACACACACACACACACACACGCACACACACACACACACACACACACACACACGCACATGCACACACACACACACACACACGCACACACATACACACACACACACACGCACATGCACGCACACACACGCACGCACGCACATACACTTACACACACACACACGCACGCACACACACACACACACACACACGCACACACACACACACACACACACACACGCACACACGTACACACACACACACACACGTATTGTGAGGGCTCTTCTTTCATCTGAATCTTTGTCCATCACTCAGCTCTGGAGAAGATGTCTCTGAGAAACGGTCCCGAGAACGGGAACCAGGATCTCAGCTCAGACCGGCTCAGAGGAGACCCCCCGAAGCCGTCGGACTCTGAATGCTCGACCTAGCTGCCAAAGGCGAGTGAGGGGTGGGGACGACGTGTTCGGTGAGGGACGGAGACTGTTGCTGTGTTTCCACTCGCTCGTGCGTGGATCACCAGGTGTGGCTCTGGCATCGGTCCTGGTTGGATGGAGGACGGCTCCGTGGCAGGAAGTGAACACTTTCCTTTTTTTGCTGAAGAGTCCTTTCAGGGACTTCCGGTGTCACACTTGGAATGGTTTTGATTTGCTTTACTTAGTTAGTCCCTGTTCATGTCATGTGAAACCTTGTAGAAGAGATGGAAGCTGCAGAAGACGGCTGAGATTGTGAAGCGTCAGGTGGAAAACCTTTACCGTGCAATATTAGAGAAGTGTGTTTTGTTTTTCCTTCTGTTCTTGCTCGTAGACCTCCGCTATGCTAGCCCGCTTCTACCCTTAAAATGGTAAAAGTCTCAAATCAACACCAGCTTCTGCTTCCTTAAATATGCCTTACAACTTCTTTTCAGCTTCCCGTCTAAAACTGCAATGAAGTCAACAACAGGATGATTCATGAGGGCATCAGAAACGGGCTTTCATACCTGGGACACACCTTGTGTTCTTCTCAGTCACCGTCAGCAGGTGTTGCTAACAGCTGGACTTCTGCAGCTCTGATCTAACGTCAGCGTTTCAGGTCTCGCTTGTTTTTAATTGATTTGATGACTTGCTGACGTGAAACAGACCTGATACTGTGTTGCTTTCTGACGCACGCACGCACACACACACACATACACACACACACACACACACACGGCTCTCTAGGCCTTTACCTACAGTGTGTGTTGTGTTCCTGGTTTCAGCGCCCCCTCTGTGGTTTGGATCACCACACCCAGGATTCACCCCCAGTAACCTCCACACTCACTCATTCATCCCAACCTGTTGTTACACACTCAGACCTAGTTTGGTGTTTCATGTTTTTCTTTTTATTGGTTAGGGTCCAAAACAATGATCAACATCTGTAGAAGTGATGAAAAGTTTGTTTTTAACCATGAATAAAGCGTCTGTAGCTGGTCTACCTTTGGTCCGTTACAACGATTAGAAGGCCGCTGATGCAGCGATCACCTGACTTGCAGACATTAACTTCACGATGTAAGAGGAGAAAAAACATCTATTTTGGACCTGATCAGTGTGAGTAACAGTTGAAACAGCTCACCTCACCTTTGTCAGTGTGCCCCGGGGCAGCTGTGGCTACAGTGTAGCTCATCACCGCCAGGGTGTGAATGGATGAATGACTGATTGTGTTGTAAACTGCCTTGGGGGGTTCCAGGACTCTAGAAGGCGCTATAGGCCAATTACCAGTTGAAGAAACCGAGATTCAAAGAAGTAACAAAAGCTGCCAGTGGCTTATTAAAGTGACAATGTGTAGTTTTTTAGCCTTAAAGAGCAAGTCACCCCCTACAAGAAATTAACTTCACTCCCACTTCATGTTCAAAAATGCAGAAAATGCTGTTGCCTGGCAGACTGAGAGGGTGGAGCCGCTAACAAACACACACACAGGCTCACGACAGCATTGTGACATCATAATGTACCAGCTAACATCATAGCATACCTCTTAGCCAATAGCGGTGGCAGATTTACATTCAAATACAGTGCAGAGTTTTTCCCTGACGACGGCACAACACTGCCAGTTTTAGGCTGAATATTTAAATTTTAACTAAGATGCACTGAAGTGCCAAATTATTGGCGACACGTGTCTGCAGCACGATTAGACACTCGTTTATTTAGTTTATCAGCAAAAAAAAGTTGATTTGGGGGTGACTTGCTCTTTAATCTCTAAAATGAATTAAAACATACTCACTTGTTGAAAAATATTGGTGGTTCATAACAGATGACCATAAAAATCGGGTCTAAATATAATATACAGATTAAAAGGTTTTCCATGGGAGACCCGCCCTCAGCCATGTCAGCCATCGCAGATCATTGCAAACGTAAATCACAGTATGGACTGGCATCAGGGGTAAGGAGGTGAGAACATGAACAGAGACGAGGGGGCCTATCAGCTGTCTCGCACCTGGGATTTCCTTCTCCAAAGACCAGCCAGAGGGGGTGGGCGTGACCAACCCGGATCTGTCAGATCTGCTGGGTTGGTCACGCCCACCAGAAGAACAGCTGATAAACGCGTCACGAACATCTGACAATTCTGATGAAGACCGCAGTCGCCCGTTGAATCATGTCAAGCTAAACTCAACTCAACCTGACATGTCTGGACCAGAAAAAACCTCTTTTAGTTTTTTAATCATTTCTAAAATCTTTTATTTATTTTAAAACTTCATTTAAAATTATTTGTTTTTATGAAGCGCCTCGTGATTTTTGTCTAGAGAGGCGTTGTAGAAAAGATTGTTTTCATTGTCCGTGATGGCTTGCTAGGGCGCTGAGGCGGACCTGGTTCTGCTCTGATCCTTCAGTCCCTGAACTGTGACCAGGTCTTAGATACAGCTTCATGATCAAAGGCACGAGCATAATTCCATAACGTTATTGCGAAGAACTTTATTGTGTGTGGACAGCGTCCTCACTCATCTACAGGCCTTGTAAGGTTGAAACTGATAAGTGGAGCATTTTTTGGGCCACTCAGACCTGCCAGGTAGGTCAGAGGTCTGGGCACACTGCTCCCATCACCTTTCCCGGTCTGAGTGGAGGCTTCCTTAGGAAGCCAGGTCTGAGTGCTGCTCTCCCGCCTCATGTAGCTCAAGTCCGTCTGCGTCGAGTGGGTGGCTTTAGTCCGGAGGTCAGCCTGTTGAAGCGGTCAGAATGAACACACCCGCCGAACGCTTAGCATCACATTAGCATTAGCTGACCATGTTAGCATTAGCTGACCATGTTAGCATTAGCTGACCATGTTAGCATTAGCTGACCATGTGATTTTATGATTATGACTAATTTATAAAAAACAACCGTCTTACTAGTTTGATAGCTTTTCTTCGGTGCTCCCACTCGTTCCACTGATACAGTCGGTCAATGTTTGCTATTATGGGATGGATGTCAGTCTGAGTCCCACTGTCACTCCTGGTGATGGCCATCTCCTGTAAGCTCTCCTCAGACTGGACCTGAACAAGTACATATGAGAAACATCTGGATCAGCTGGAGGCTAGCAGGAGGTCTGTTCGACCCGGAAGGTTCCAGGCATTCCATCCAAGCTCTCCTCCCAGAGCAGAAGGGTGCGCTAATGGAAGGACCGTGCTGACCTCAGACTTTGGATGGACACAGAGCGGCTGCTGATGGAGATTGAGGAGCTTCAGGAGTTCAGGGAAGTGTTTAGATGTTGTCATCACTCCTGCAATAACGTCATCTGGACATGAAGCAAATTTCAAGGCTGCTTCTTTAGAGCTGAAAGCAAAGAGCATCTCCTTGTGTTTCAGGACTCCAATCTGTGGATTACCTGCAGAAAGAGCACGTTCATCAGCAGCACATGGAGACGGCGTGAACCAGAGGGCTGTCCCTTGCCTGGTGTTTTCAGTACCTGGAAGCAAAAGGCCATCCCTGTGGACGAGTGTGTAACCACAGAATCCATTATACTGTAGAGGTAAGCCAGTAAGGTTGGTGGTTGTTTCCGACGTGAGCCATTCCTGCGTCTCCATCTGAGCTGGATCCATGCGTTCATCTGGAGGACAGAAGAGGGACCACCTTCAGAACTCAGACGTGTTTATAAAGGTGTGGAGAACCGGGGGAGGAGCGTACGGCCAGTCTCCGCCAGTCTCTGCTCATCTGTCTTCAACTCTGCTGTCTCCACCAGGCTGTCCAGATACGTTTCAGGAAACATGGTGGCCTGTGAGGTGATGAAGGGCTGAAGACTGAGAGTGATGTCATCGAGTTTGTTCAACAGCGCCGCTTCATCCTGAAGCTCACGCCATAATTTGGACAAGTCTTTCAACAAGGGCTGAAAAATGTAGGAAGCAAAAAGGAAACGTGAAATCCACACCAGTTCAGGAGCAGCGGCGAAACGCGTCGACGGTCTGCTTCTGTCGGCAAAAGCATCGGGTCAGAACCGGACGTTAGAATGTTCATGGCCTGGTTTACAGAAGCAGATGTTATAATACACACGTTAAAACAGGTTTGATATCAAAAGGTGCTTCACTACACATCCAGGTGTGCTGTTGCATCACCAGCAGAGCACTGGTCCGAGGTGTCCATCCACCCGTCATGGACACAAGTCTTACACCGGTTCTAGTTTTCACTCGCTCCTGGTTCCAGAGTGGGATGACTAGAAAGCACAACTGTTTAATAAAACTGGAATCCAAACATATATAAAAGTAGGATTGTCCTTCTGAGAGCTCCACTGTTCAGCCATCATCACTAACAGGAGTTAATTCTTCTGGACCCGGTCACGTTTAAGGACCGTCCAGAACTTTCTGCTCCCTACTGAAGGACCAGAATGTTCATACCGGTGTCTGTAGGACAGTTAACCCGAGGGTTCTCGTTGGACAGTACAAGTTCAAATGTGCTCTTACGTAGACCACCGACTTCAGCACGGCTGCCCTTGATTGGACGGTTTCTCTGAGCAGTTTCATCTGAGCTGAGAGTTCAGTCCGTAGGGTCTCAACATGGCTGACGCACAAGTCTGCATCATTCTGATGACGAAAGACACACATAAACACCACAGCCCCAAACACAAACAATCACTTATTCTACTTCAACATGCTAACTCCACACAAAAAGGCCAGGGTCGGGTTTGAACCTTCAACCCCCAGTAGGGGCTGGTGAGAAACATTCATGGTGGGACGTTCTCAGTCCATTATGAGAACTGGGACGACCAGATGGAAAATGGAAACACACACCAAGTCAACTTAGACTAAAAAATGCCTGAAAGTAGGTGTTTGTATTTCTCCTGTTATCGGATAGCACCATCTAGTGGCTGGCCAGCATATCACATGACTAATAAAGGGTTAAGATGAAGACAGCTGCTGGTGTTTCTGACTCCATCTGGTCCAGAGCTTAATGCTCCTCCTTCAGCCTGACTCAGGAGCACCCAGTTAAACCCTCCTCAGTACTGCTAATGTCCTTGTTCACTTTAACGGGCTATGATGATGATAACTACCAGAAATATTAATAGTATTAATGGAAGTTGTTGGGAGACACGAACCCTAGCAATATGAAATGTTTCTGTACCTGTAATACTCGGAGGAAGGCCTGATGCTGCCTGACGTTGTACAAAGCCTGTCTGAGCAGGACGATGGACACGTCCTGCTGTCTGCACTCTGGGTCGGGCCGGGTCGCATCCTCCAGGACGGCTGTGTATTTCCACACCAACGTCTCCGTCAAACTCAGCTCCTTTTTGATGCTTTTGGAGGCGACTTCAAGGGTTTCTGTGAGAGCAGGCACTGATAAAGGAGGAAACCTGTCAGAGAGCAGGCCTGAAGCTCAGCAGGAAGCCTGCAGGTCAGTTACTCATGTGGCAGTAAGGATCGGCGACTTATTAAATGAGCAATAAGATGTGATGTTCCATATAACTATGAAATATCAGTCTGATTGGTCTTTGAATGTTTAATTCTCCGGTGCAGTGTGGATCGGGTGGCAGACCGAGGCGGGAGCCTTGGCGGTCCGATCCCCGGACAAGAAAACTGGTTTTTGGGACATGGAACGTCCCCTCGCTGGCGGGGAAGGAGCAGGAGCTTGTGGCAGAGGTTGAGCGGTACCGGCTAGATATAGTCGGACTCACCTCGACACATTGCATTGGCTCTGGAACCCGAGACCTTGCGAGGGGGTGGACACTCTCCTTTGCTGGAGTTGCTCCGGGTGAGAGGCGGAGGGCTGGGGTTGGCTTTTTGTTAGCCCCGAGACTCTCTGCCTGTGTGTTGGGGTTTACCCCGGGGGACGAGAGGGCAGCTACCCTGCACCTTCGGGTCGGGGAACGGGTCCTGACTGTTGTTTGTGCTTATGGGCCAAATATCAGTTCAGAGTACCCACCCTTTTTGGAGTCCCTGGGACGAGTGCTAGATAGTGCTCCATCAGGGGACTCCATTGTCCTGCTGGGGGACTTCAATGCTCACGTGGGCAATGGCAGCATGACCTGGAGGGGTGTGATTGGGAGGAACGGCCCACCTGATCTGAACTCAAGTGGTGTTTTGTTATTGGACTTCTGTGCAAGCTGCAGTTTGGCCATAACGAACACCATGTTCTAACATAAGGATGCCCACCGGTACACTTGGTACCGGGGCAGCCTAGGTCACAGGCCGATGATAGACTTTGTAGTCGTATCATCTGACCTGCGGCTGTATGTTTTGGACACCCGAGTGAAGAGAGGAAAGGAGCTGTCAACTGATCACCACCTGGTGGTGAGTTGGATCAGATGGCAGGGGAAGATGCCGCGTAGACCTGGCAGACCCAAACGCATAGTGAGGGTCTGCTGGGAACGCCTGGCAGAAGAACCTGTCAAGACGGTCTTCAACTCCCACCTCCGGCAGAGCTTTGACCGCGTCCCGAGAGTAGTGGGGGACATTGAGTCCGAGTGGGCCTTGTTCCACTCTGCGATTGATGAGGCGGCTGTTGCTAGCTGTGGTCGTAAGGTGGCCGGTGCCAGTTGTGGTGGCAACCCCCGTACCCGCTGGTGGACACCAGAGGTTCGGGGAGCGGATGTAGCACTGCAGCATCTCCCTCCTTCTCTTTCTCCCTCCCTGCTTTGCGAGTCTGCTGTGGAGAGGACTTCCTGTTCTGTTGACCCGTACGAGGAAGTGTGTGGTCGTGCGCATAGATATGTATATACATATATGTTTATATACATATCTATGGTCATGCGTGAGACCTCTAACACATCACTTGTGAGCATGCCTGATCCCAGCACGTGCAACATGGGAGTTTGACTCTAAAATGGCTCCTGTTCCAGGGATCACTCAGATTCTGGTTCATCCGGCACGGCGTTCTACGGTTCTGGGTGGTCGTGCTATCAGACACGGTGTGTCCAGCCTGCTGCCTCCTCTCCACTCAGTTTATTTAAAAGTTGACTGTTTGGAGTCTCCTCTTCCTTTCTAGAATGAGGAAGGGTTTATCACACCCCTGGTTTGTGTAGAGGAGGTGATGGGCTTAAAAACCCCACAAAGAGAATCATTTTACATTTATACATTAAAATAAACACATTTTGCAGGTCTTAACGGAGAATTGGATTTAGCTCCTGTTTTGTAATTCTGTGTTTTCTTACTGTATTTGCTTACTTTTCCTTTTTCTCCATTCTCAGAGGTAATTTAACATTCTCCTTAAAATAGGGTTTTTAGAATGTAAAAGAGTTTTTTGGTGCGATACTGGTCCTCCAATCGTGATGCTGTCTACCTGCCCAACTTCAGCAGGTGTCACTGATTGGCCTTCTTTACCAGGAAGTGAGAGGACCTACAGACATTTAGAGCCCTGACGAAGGCCCTGTGTCTCCTGAGGGCCTCGGGCCACTTTTAGCGTAACATTATGGCTTCCTTGTTTGGTGACGAGGTGCTTTCCAGTTTGGAGGCCAGACAGACGGGTGCTTGTATCTGCAAATGAAAAAGTTTTTTTTTCTGGTCCTTTTTGATGTAAACTTGACCTTCGGGTACGCTACACTCGTCTTTCACACCATCAACTCCTTCATTCACTCAGGCTGCAATGAGAAGAATCTCTAAAGGATTAATTATAGAAGAACCTGTGTGTGCTTGAAACACACACACACACACACACACACACACACACACACACACGCACGCACACACCCATCAGCTGGAAACCCTGAGTGGATTTATCATGGGACACATCTGCGGTGATTGAGTGAATTTTCTCTTGTTCACAGGTAAAAACCTTGACCTGCCTCTGACGAGTCTTGTTGGTGACCTGAACCTCTGCTAGAGAAAATAAAAACTCGTACTTGACTGAAAGATGTCGAACTGCTCCTCCTCTCTACTGCTGGCTCCCATGAAGAGCCTGACGCCCGTTACGAGTGCAGCGAGCTCCTGCAGCCGCTGCTCCTTGTCTCGTTTGGACAGATCCAGGAAGGACACCAGATCCGTCTGTGGGAAGACGCTCTGGAGGGCAGCTGGAACAGCAGTCAGATCAGACCTCCATCATCATCACAACAGCAGGTAGGAGCACCAGCTGAGATGACTCCACATCCTCCAGATTAAAAAGGCTAATCATACAACAGGTTCCACAGTGTTGACCACAGATGCTAAAAGCTGACATTTCCCCAGAGACAGCCACGTGAGAAAGCCCCGCCCCTTTTGGAGCTCAGGTAGACCTCACAGTAAACCATCATTCTGGGTTGGTGTTGTTTTATGCAACCACAGGTTAAGCTGGAGGGTTGGGGGTATGTTTACCCAGAATCCAACAGATCGTGATGTCCCTCTGAGTTTAACTACATAAAACTTTCAAGACTGCCAGTTCTTCTAATGTTCAGTGTTCTCTAACACACGAAGACCTCGTTTGCAAAAACAGAGAATTCCGTTCTTCATCAGCCTAAATGACAATTTAGATCAACAACGGCTTTTACCTGCGTTTGCAAACCAACTCTTCAGATAATGAAGCATTACCAGTGAGGACTGGCATCTGAACCCAGCTGAGACCCTCTGGGGCTTTCTGCATGCATTTAGCAGCTGCAGTGTGATGCAGGATGAACCAATGACCCTAGACAGTCAGCACTGCAGCATGATGATCCTAGGTCAGCTGATGAACTGAAAGCAGGTGGTGCCATGGTTCTGCTTAGGGCAGGTGTGTGAGACCTGTAGCTTCGTGCACCGCGTTGGTGTCTGCAGGTGAGCCCATGGCAGAGCACAGCAGGGTGTAGAAGACTACTTGATGGTAGACGGTCTCTAACTCCTCCCTGGTCATCGCTCTGGCATCAGTGATCTCACGGGTGATCTGGACCAGTTGGGACTCCAGAGCCTGATGGATCTCCTCCAGAAAATCCTCTGAAAAAAACAACTCCTGGTGGTTTCTAATGAACGTGAAACCATGCGTGAATGTGTTTGGTTCAGGCACAAGAGCTGAGGCACGTCAGCATGAATCAGAAGACAGAAAGGTGAGGCCCAGGAGGAACCAGAGACCTGCAGGCTGGACCAGAACACAACGGGGAGGTTATTACTTACGTCGAGGAGTATAACTCCCATCAAAGTTCAGCTGCATCTTGATGGTGTCCAAAGCAGGGCTGCACTTCTCCGTCAGTCTCTCCACACAGAGCTGTGAGACAGGACAGTGAGCTGCTGATGGTTCTCAGCTCTGGAGCGTTTAGACCTCAGCATCACTTCAAATCTAAGACTGGACCCACAGAACCAGGACCCCCCCCAAGCCCCAGTTACCTCTTTAAGCTTCTGGACATCCTGACTGCTCAGCAGCTGGCCATATTCAAACTGGTTCCTGGGGTCCTGCGCCACCGCTTTCACCTGTGCAGAGCAGAGTTATGCAACTAGAAGCTGCTGGTGCTGAGGAACCCCTAATCCTGCAGGTCACCAGCAGCCCGGCCAGGGACTCGGCTGGAGACGGTATGTGCCAGCTGAGGGAGGGCGATGGCTTTAGGGGTTCGTTCACCCCGTCATCAGTGGGTTGCTGGTTCGATTCCACGTTTTTAGCTTATACTGAATACAGATCTGATTTTCAACAGCTACCAGGGCAGAGACGAGAGTAATTCTGTGTAACTGTCCACAGCACCTGTGGTTACTATGGTTATTCCCCAGGAAGTTCAAAAACAAGCCCACGTGTTCAACAAGCGTCTGCGTGGACACGCAGGCTACAGGTTATACTGGTCTAACGGACAGAAGCGCCATCTTCTTTTATTATTGGAAAATAGAACATTTACAAAATTACAATATATTGCAAATGAGTCCAGAAACGTGAACGCAAGTGTTACGGATACAAGTGACGCAGGAGGACTAAGAAAAGTCTTTCCCAGGGCAGATATCGTTCTCATGGCGTTAGAATTGGAACTAGATTTAAGGCTGTCTATATAAATACCTAACGCAGCTAAGAATGCTTTATGATGCTGAAATTTAGAGGTGTGGATGTAATATTTCCCATATATCACAAGCAAATTAGTCATGTATAGTTTTTCTGAGTCTTTGAGATTGTTTCTCAACACCAAACAACATATGCTTTTTTCTAGTGAGAAACTTCATCAGGTCAGTCCAAAAGGTTTTTGTATGAGTGCACTCCCAGAACACGTGTAACGGACATTCATCATCATTTTTACAGACAGCAATCCATTTTCCATTTATAGCCTTTTTGTAGAAAGGCTTTAACCGGATAGCATCTGTGAATAATCTAAAACGATGCTTCTTTTATTTTGTTGAACAGTAAATATTTTCTTGGTAGCAACCGTGTCCACTTCCAGTCAATATTGTTGAAGGTGTTGGACCAGTAAAAAGTACACGCTGGTGAAGATACAACATTTCTCATAACAGTGTTTCTAACTTGGTTAGACACGTTGTTGCTTATAAAAGGTTCGTCTGAGTCAATAAAAATGTCCTTTGGATCAACTGGAGGGGTGATGACGTCTTTTGCTTTGGGTGCTGATGATAGAAGTTGAAGTACGCCGCTGGTTTTGCATCAAATATAATGACGTAGTCTTTGGTTGGCACAGGGAAATGGTAGAGTCATGAATAGTGAGTATGACAGTAAATTACCATTGGTATCCAGCAACTGACTGACCAAGAGTTTGCCTTTATCATACCACTTTTTACTGAAAGGTGTTTTATTCTTGTATTTAATATCATTGTTCCAAAAGTACAACATGAGTGACCAGCATGGTAACATTGGCTTGTTTCAGCGGGATTTTAAGCTCGTTGTAGTTACATCTTAGTAAAAATTAAACCACCAACCGTATTAGAAATGTACAAAGGTATTGTGTTCCATATAGAATAAGGATTTTTTAAAAGGTTTTCACGTATTTACTTTTAGTGTTTAGCGATGAAAAATCGAATGCATCAATTCCGCCTCTGTCCGGCTTTTTCATCATGTTTTTTTTAATGAGATGGCATTTATTTTTCCAGATAAAGATGAAGATGAACTTGTCTACATTGGCACAGCGTTTTTGTGGGACCTCTAGAGCAAGAGCCGTGTAAACTAGTCGAGATAATCCTGCCTTTGTTATCAGGGATCTCCCAGCAAGAGCGAGGCCCCTCTGGAGCCAGAGGTTACGTCTTTGTTCCAAAGATTTTATCAAGGGATTAAAGTTTTCTAATGATCTTATATCGTCATGTTTTTGAATGTTATTCCTAAGTATGTAATAACGGTTTTTACTGGGATGCTGTATAACTCTTTTTCAGAAGTGGTTTTAAGGGGCATCAGTTCACTCTTGCTAATATTTAACGTTAATCCTGAGGCCTTGGAGAATGAACTGATGATGTCGAGGGCTTTTTTAATTTCATTTTTGTTTTTAAGAAAAAGAGCTGTATCATCAGCGAGATGGGAGATGATAAAGTTTCTATCAGCCATATGTATACCTTGTAAATCACTTTTTAAATAATAGTCGATAAGATTTGCATTGCTAATATAAATAAGTAGAGAGGCTGGGCAGCCTTGTCTCAGTCCTCTTGATCTAAAATCTCTTGGAGCCGCCACGGGATAGTTTTATAGTTGCGTTGCTATTCTTATAAAGCATCTGAACGTTTTTTATGAATGGTTCTCCAAAGCCGGATTTTTCTAAACATAAAATTGTGTTCTATTGTGTCGAAAGCTTTAAAGAAATCTAAAAATAAAATAAATCCATCATCTCCAGTTAAGTCCGGATAATCTAATACATCTAGTTCTAGTCTGATGTTACTGGTTACGTGTCTTCCCGCAGCAAAGCCTGATTGGGTTTCATCAATAATTTCATCAAGATGACTTTTAAGTTTTTTAGCAATGCAACTTGCAGTTACTTTGTAATCGTTTTGAAGTATAGGGTAATAGGAGGCCAATTATCTACTAGTAATTAGTCTTTGTTAGGTTTAGGGAGTTTGGTAATAAGGCCTTGGGACATTGTTGGAGGAAGTGCTCCGTATTCTAAGCGTTCAACCTTGTATAAGAATGGTGATAATCCCTTGGAATATTTCTTGTAAAACTCTGTAGTTAGCCCATCCGTGCCCGGAGATTTATTAACTTTTAGTTTGTTAATGGCATTTTCTATGTATTTGCTAGTGATCTGGGAGTCGCAATCTTTTTTTTTTGGGATCCACTTATCTGTTTAATATTGTTTAGAGAATTCATAAATTGATCCGCTCTGTCATCTGAGATTTTTGTGTTATGAAGATTTTTGTAAAAATGTTCACAGAATTCTGAAATTTCAGTAGGATCCTCACAAATGTTGTTGTTTATTTTCAGTTTTGTAATTGAGTTGTTTTTTATGTTGTTTCTCTAGTTTAAAAAAGAAAGAAGTATTTTGCTCACCCTCTTCTAGCCATTTCTTCCTTGAGCATATGAATGCTCCTTTATTTTTAGAGATATACATGTTGTCAAGATTCATCTGTAGATCCTTTAATCTAGCATGGTCATTTTCTGATAGATTTTCTGGTAAAATATAGCTTAGGGATATGATTTATTTTACTATTTTAATTTCCTTTTCTTTTAGGACTCTTGCATGCTCTGTGCCTGCTTTCATTATTATTTTCCTTAATTCGTATTTTAATAATTCCCATTTATTTCTGAATGAGTTTTGAGAGGATGCAATAATCCAGTACTTTTCTATTGTGTCTTTAATATTTTTTCCTTGTCCATTTTTATGAATGAGTGAATTATTAAGTTTCCAGTATGTAAAATTCCTGTTTTCTTTGAAAGGACTTGAGTTACTCAGATCAAGGGTAATGAATTTGTGGTCTGAAAGAGGTGCAGGTATGATGTCACATTTTATTTTCTCTGCTATGTGGTCTGCTGTTAACCAAAAATCTATTCTTGATTTTGATGAGCCGGATTTATTTTGCCATGTAAAGTCAATTTTATCGCCGTTAGTTTTTCTCCATATATCTATCAACCCGAATGTGCACATAAGGTTGCTCAGGCTTGCGTTTGTGGTTGAAGAATTTGTGGAAGGAAGTCTGTCTATGTTATCATTAAAGGTGCAGTTGAAATGTTCATCTAATATAATATTAAGATTTTTGTATGTTTTTGATAAATTAGTTATTTTATTTTCCAGGATGTTAAATAGTTCAGATTTTCCTTTTTCGAATTGTAGCCATAAACACATCCTGTGAGGTATAAGTTTTCATCTAGCATTAAAATGAAAAGTATGTAATTACCATGCATCTGAGGTAAAGTATAGAACCTTCCCACTGAAGTTGTTTTAAAATGGCGACGCCTGCTGACTGATTTGAACCATGACAGAACCATATCTCATTTCCCCACTGTGTTCTCCAGAAGTTTGCATCGTTAGTTACAGAAAGAGTTTCTTGAATTAAACATAAATCCACTTTAAGCTGTTTAACATAAAAAAAGATTGCCTTTCTTTTAGTGTTATCTTTTAATCCTCGTGTGTTAAACATAGTTGTTCCCCATCGACAAATAAATATTGGACGATGGGTTTCCATACACTCCAATAACAGATTTTTGAAGATAAATGGGAGGTGGCCACCACCGCCATTTTGACCGTGTCACAGGTTCCGTCAAGCCCAGACAATTCCATAAAAGGGAAGAGAGGTGGATCTGAGGGTGGGGCTGTAAGGCTGGGATCAACTGACGACACCTGGTCGAACTAGCTACAAGCTAACCTGAAGCTAACCCAAAGCTAACGCAGAGGTGGGAGCTAAGCTAACGGAGGTAGCAACCTAGCTACAACTGGAGTTAACTGTGCTCAACACCAGAGCTTCTGAGTCAGAGATACGCCGGGCTGACCGCTGGGTAAAACCGGGTGGAACACAGAGAGCTCCACAAGCCGGCAGCCGCACAGCAGACAAGCGCCGCTGCGATCTGAGATGCGCAGAGCTGCCGCTGGGGAGAACCGGGTGGAAAACATCGGTCTCCCGAGAGCATGTTAAAATCTAAGCTCAGCTCGGCAGTGACCTAAAATACATAAATATAATTTTACTTAAAAATGAAGTGGAGACTCCTTGGACGCTCTATTAGTGCAATTAATGCCACAGCAAGTCATTTTGTCCAACAATTGCACAAATAATATCCAAACAAGAATACACAAACACAGACTCTAAATCCCGGAGTAGTTTCCAGGCCAGACCGAGGCTCTACTGAGGCCTTTCCCCGGAGCTAGCTCTGTGGTCACGTGGGTCTGATGCTCATTAATTATACAGAATTTTAGGCTTTTAATACACTTAAACAGAAGAGTGAGAAAAACATTCACCCCCCTCAGAGTTGTCATGAGTGTAAACTAGATCATTTAAACCTAAAACATGTTCTGGTACCAGGCTGTAAACATGTTTATTTCTGCTGTCAAATTGGTATTTTTAACATGGGAGTCAATGAGGATTTGCTCGCTTCTGACACCAGCCCCTAGTGGATGAGGGTGGAACTGCAATTTCTGTCACTTCCATGTTGGCTTCAATTTCTGTCCCGCATTGTTGGGGCTTGGTGTTCCCCCTAGGTTTCAGTGTCCATGGTTCCCCAGCCCCCTCCAGGCTCTCTAGGTTTCCCTCACATTTTCCCTTAGTCACCTCACTTATCATTAGTCTTCTGTTAGTGTTTATCTAGTCGTATTCTCCCTTGAGTTCATTTTGTTCCCTTCCCCATTGTTGGGTCTGGTTTCCTCCCCTGCTCCGTTGTGCTCCTCCTCTCTGTTAATTAGTCTCACCTGTGTATATAACCCTGTCTGCGTCTCAATGTGTTGTTGGTCCGTTGTTCGTGTCAGCGTTGTTTTGTCCCCCCTCCTTCTTGGTCTCTAGGTTATTTAGCTTCGTGCCCTGCTTGGATTTTATTTATTTATTTTTTCATCCTAATAAAGGAATGTTTTCTTTCACATCCGCTCCTGCTTCTTGTTGTTCTGGGCATCTGCATTTTGGGTCCAACTCCCCTGGCTCTCAACGTGACACCAGGCAGAACAACATAAATAAATTCTGATTCTACTGAAATACATTTATTGAAATGGGAAATATTTTTGGGGAAATACATTCCTATTGCCAAAGAAAATGTGAAATTAAAGCGAAAATATCAATTGATAAATGGAGACCTTGATCAACTAGAATTTTGATGAAATGGATTGAAATATTAAACATAAAACATAACTAACAAAATATGAAGAGGAGTTCAACATTCATACAAACCAACAGAGATGCTTATTATGTAAATACATTTTAGAAAATATTTTGGCACAGACTGATCTTCATTTATGTAGTTACACATTCTTTACTAAATGAATACAATATGGTGCTTTATTTTACAAATACCATTATAAACACAAATTTACGTGGTAAGAAACATTATTTTAATAACGAAACTGCTAAATTATTTCCAAAACCTGAGTGAAAGAACGGTATAAAGATGTGTAGTTTATTTTGTCCGAGTGGACTTGTCGTACTTTGACGTCATCGGCAGTCGAAGGACCTCGAGCAGACCGACACCGTCACTAACTAGCTGGTTAGTCTAGTTTCACTCACCATAAACAACACCAGCGGCTCCGTGACCGCGGCTCCTCTCCGTTCACACTCCCGCACTATTTCATCCACGATTATTTTAATCACGTTCTTCGCCAGGGACCGAGCCATCTCTACCAGGTCACTGTTGAAATCCGGTTACCTTGGTAACGACGCTAAAGGCGCAACCAACGGAAGTCACGTGGTGTGGGCGGCATTTGATCGATTGAAACGTTTATTTGAACGTAAGACAAAATATTTTCAAATAAATCAATGAACATAGCAGAAAAGAAAAGATATACGAACAAAAAAAGAAGTCTTTGTCCAAAGGGAGTAAGAAGAAGCAAGTGCTTATTCACCCTCTTGTCTCACAATACTAATTTACCTTTACTTTACAAATTATCATCTATACATACATACATATATCCATATTCATATATATATATATATATATATATATATATATATATATATATATATATATATATATATATATTAGGGCCGGGACTTTAACAGGTTAATTATGATTAAATAATTAGAAAAAAGATAATGCGTTAAAAAAATTAACGCATTTAATCGCAGCTTGCATTTCAAGCACGGCGGAACCTTTGTCATTGCACGACTTCCTCGTAGACTGAATATCACTGACGCACACAACATTGCACAGTGCTAATGGCTACTAAACGGAATAAAAACCGAAAGAAGTTGCCTTGCTTGGACTGATGCAGGATTTAGGAAACACGTCCACCTCTTTTCTTAACTTGAAAAAAACAAACTTCCAGACAACAACGGAGTCCGTGTCGCGGACATTTTTCAGAGATCGTCTCTGCTGCGGCTGCCCGGTGGCACCGGAACTTTACAAAAATAGCGGTAAGCTATATTTTTAACATTTACGTAACATCTGTGCAGCGCTGAAAGCACCAGACAGAATAATTCTGTGTCCTAACAGTAGTTTATGAATGTAGTCAGACAAACGAGAGGCACCTGGCTGCCACTGGGAGAACGCTCCGTGTTCTCACTACTCTGTAAACAATCACAAACAAAGTGTCTTAAAGTTGAAAACAGAAGTTTAAGTTAAAACAGAAACACTCTGAAACTTTTCTGATGATTTTCTAAACAATTCTGTCGGGGAGTTATACGTTTCTGAGACGAGTCACTGTCTAAACATCACATGCATTACTATCATAAAGCAGCAGGTGTGTTGAAGCTGTCATCAGCTAAGGGGCGGATGCTTTAGTGCATCAGGGGCAGCGAGGAACGAGAACGTTGTGATCAGGCTGGAGATCACACCAGATTCGCTGCTGCAGGCCTGAATCTGCGGGTCTGCAGCATCCCCTTCTTAACGTGACATCAGGACTTCCCATGTAAGGAAGGTCCGCTCACCTGTTCGTCAGATCATTATTTCCTCGCCATGATCTTTTATCATCCCATCAACCTCCAGTCATCCAACTGGAACCAGTTAGTGTTCCTGATCATTCTCAGAATACGCCACGCCTGCTCTGGTGTTAAAAGTTAGTACATTTAAGTCCTAGATCATATTTGTGCCTGTTCTACTGTCATTTTGAAGGATTATTATTTATATGTGTGTTTTTACTACATTATGAGTAGAAATGCTAATAAAAACTCCCAATTATACAAACAAGTGAAACTGGAAAAATTAGAATCTGGTGCAAAGTCAAATTTATTTCAGTCATTCAACTAGACAGAGAGACTATTTAAAGGCTCAGGAACCCTTTGCAGGTGTTTTCTATTTGTAATTATAAATTTTAGTTGATTTGGGTTTTGTTTCATATCACACAGTGACATTTGATTAATTAAAATGCATTTTTTATTAAAATCTTTAGTTTACAGTAATAACCATGTCTAATGTTTGATTCTCTGTCTCATAATTTTAATTAAAAGTTTTGCTTTGAGAGCACATTTAATTACAAAGCCTCTAATTAATTAGATTAAATTTTTTATCAAGTCCCAGCCCTATTATATATATATGAATATATGAAAATGGACATATATATATATATATATATATATATATATATATATATATATATACACACACACACACACAGTAAGTGAAATACGGCAGAACTAATGAACAATACAGAATATGGGGTGATTTACAGTCCAACAGCTGCTTCGTTTTATTTATAATTGCAATGTTTTTTGCTGCTTTGTGTATGTGTCTAATGTGGTGCTTCCAACTGAGTTTATTATCCAGTATCACACCCAATAATTTGATTTCATTAACATTCTCAATTTTTTCATCATCAATCTTTATACATACTTCTGTTTTGTTTTTACAATTGCCAAACGTCATTACCTTAGTTTTTTTTTCTATATTCAATGATAATTTATTATCATTCCATTTTTTAGTTTACTTAATTCTTTATTAATATTTCGTTGAGATCATTTCCAGAGTAGAACAAATTTGTATCATCAGCAAATGAGATCATCTTCAGAATTTTACAGGCTTGAAAAATGTCATTTATATATATATTAAATAGAGCAGGTCCTAATACTGACCCCTGGGGGACACCACAGGCAATCCCCATACTTTCACAAGGGACATCATCCATTTTCACAAATTGATGTCTCTTAGATAAATAATTGGTGATCTAGTCCAGTCCTATTCCCCTAATGTCATACTGTTGAAACTTGTTTGAGAATTGATTGATTTATTGTATCAAAAGCTTTCCTAAAATCTATAAATACTCCAGTAGCATATTAACCAATGTATTAATTATTTCATCGGTTGCTTCCATTATTGCATGAGCTTTGTTGTCCTCTTTTCTCTGAATCCGTACTGACTATGGTTTAGTATTTAGTGTTTATTTAAAAGGTTTTCTAGTCTGATATTAAAGTTTTTTCCAGGATTTTTGAAAATTGAGGAAGAAGTGATACTGGCCTGTAGTTGTTAAACAGATGTTTATTCCCTTGCTTAAATATTGGTATTACTTTAGCTACTTTCGAATACCATCAATAACTCTTTTAACCAACACCATATCATTACCGTCACAAGAGTTTCTTCTCTTAGAGCTGCCGGGTGCAACTGTCAGAGCCCAAGTCCCCAAACCAGCCTCTTCCAGCTAGCCAGTCTCCACCCTGGACCACAACTCCCAGCATGCTCCTCACGGGGATTCCCTCCACGTCACACCCACGTCACTAACCGCGACTATATACGGAAGTCACCTCTCCAGCTCACCACTCAGTCATCGTTTCTTCAGATCCATGATCCGAGTATCTAATCAACCTATCCATCTGACGAGTAAGCGCTATTACTTACCTCTGGAAAACCCAGCATCTCCGTGTCACTTCACTGACGCTCAGACGCTCGATGATTCCTAGATCAAACCGCGAGCTGGTGTATCGCCGACGCTAGCACTTCGGCGTCTGTAAAGCCACACTCGCTACAGCTCAACTCCCTGTATCCAGCCGGCCAGTCTGATAGGATGACGGAGTCCATTAACCCCGTGGAGTTTGAGCATTTAAAGAATGAGGTTGTGCAGCTCCACGCTTTGTTAGATCGGCTCAACACCAAGGTGAACTCTCTAACCGACCTCACCCTTCAGTTATCTACATCCCTCAATGCTCTCCAGCAGCAAGCCCTCGCTCCGGCTAAGGAGGAGCCACAGCTCAGCCTTCCGGAGAAATGGAATGGGGTGGATGGGAGCCCCGATGGCCTGCTCGCCTCCCTCGACATGCAGTATGAGTGCCAACCAGGAAAATACCTCACTGCCCGCTCTCGGGTGGCGCAACTCACCTCACTTCTCTCTGGACACGCTCAGGAGTGGGCCGCCGCTCTCTATAATTCTAAATCCTCTGCCTGCAACGACTATGCTGCTTTTGTGGCTGCCCTCAGGAAGGCATTCGTTCCACTCTAGTGAGGTGGGGGCTGAGGCACGTCTCCTAAAACTCCGCCAACGGGAACGCTCGGTGTGCACCTATGTGTCAGAATTTAGCACCATCGCTGCCAAACTCCAGTGGGATGACTCTGCCCTTCAGGCTGTCTTCTTAGAGGGGCTGGCACCCTACATCCAAGACGAGATGACGGGAAGAGAACTGCCCCAGACCCTGGATGAAGTAGCCGATCTTGCGCTGCGCATCGACCAGCGGGTTCTGGTTCGACCCAGGTCCTCCGCCCGCCCACTCAGAACTCCTGGACCTCTGCCTCGTTCACTAACGACAGCCCCAGGACACACCTCAACCGAGGAGCCAATGCAGCTAGGCCACCTCCCCCCAGGAGAGAGAGAGCGGCGGTGGCGCGAGGGTCTCTGTGCCTATTGTGGCTCCTCCGACCATCGCCGCCTGGACTGCCCATTACGGCCGGGAAACGAAGGCACCCGCTGAGTATCAGGGTTAGCTCAGTCTGGGTCATCCTCTGCCCCTGTCTCCCCACCGACTCCTCCTTCCCGTTACCCTCCTTCATGGCGAGACTTCACACCAGATGCACGCTCTGGTGGACTCGGGGGGGCCGCCGAGAATTTCATTGATGTGGATCTGGCCAAACGCCTACGGATCCCCCTGATCCGCCTGGAACGGATTATTCCGGTGACCTCGGTGGATGGCAGACCTGTCCAGCCCTATCCTGTCCAAGACCGAACCCAGTCACTCCAGATGATCATCTAAGGCCACCAGGAGACCCTCCATTTCCTGATCATCTCTGCTCCCTCCTCTCCTTTTATCCTGGGGTTCCCCTGGCTCCGTCTCAACGACCCCCAGATTTCCTGGTCCCAGAACCACCTTTTAGACTGGGGGACCCAGTGCCAGGCCCACCTCTCTTCTCCTCCACCCATGGCAGGACCGCCCAGCTGGCGGACTCGGACCTTCACCGCCCAATCTGCCGCTGCCCTATCAAGACCTTGCCGCAGTCTTCAACAAGCGGTGCGCTACCACACTGCCACCTCACCGCCCTTATGATATGGAAATCAAGCTGCAACCTGGAACCAGCCCTCCCAGAGGGCGCCTTTTCTCTCTCTCTCCCTCCAAATCCAGAGCTATGGATGAGTACATCAACCAGGCCCTCCAGCAGGGCTTCATCCGACCCTCCTCTTCCCCGGGTGCCGCAGGCTTCTTCTTTGTGAAGAAGAAGGAGGCTGACCTTCGTCCCTGTATCGATTACCGGGGTCTTAATAAGATCACCATCCTGGACTGTCACCCCCTGCCACTCCTCACGACTGCTCTAGACTCCATCTCCCAAGCGCAGATCTTCATCAAACTGACCTCCGGAGTGCCTACAACCTGGTCCGCATCAAATTAGGGGATGAGTGGAAGACCGCGTTTATCACACCCACCGGCCATTGGGAGTACCAGGTCATGCTGCCCTTCGGGCGGTGTAACAGCCCTGCCATTTTTCAACGCCTCATGAATGATGTCCTCCGCGACATGCTGGGCCGGTGGTTGTTTGTACCTGGATGACATCCTAATTTATTCCAAGACTGAGGCCAAACACCTCCACCACATTCGTGCTGTTCTGACCCGGCTCCTGGAAAATAACCTGTTGTGTAAGCCCGAGAAATGCTCCTTCCTCCAGCGGACCATCTCATTCCTGGGCTTCATGATATCGGATCGGGGCATAACCATGGACCCTCAGAAGGTCCAGGCGGTCGCTGACTGGCCCCTTCCGACGAGCCTGAAACAACTACAGAGTTTTCTGGGTTTCTGCAACTTTTACTGCCGTTTTACAAGGAACTTCAGCACCATTGTTGCGCCTCTCACCTCACTCACCCGACCAAGCCCACCCGGCCAACCGTTCCGTCTAACGGGCCCGATGACAGACTCCATCCCTGTGCCTACTTCTCTAGGAAGTTTTCCACCACTCAGCAGAAGTATGGCGTGGGCGATCGTGAACTGCTGGCCATAAATTAGGCGCTGGAAGAATGGAGACAGTGGCTTCTGGGCACCATCCAGCCTTTCACGATCTGGACGGACCACCAGAACCTTACTCAACTCCGCTCCACCAAGTAGCTTAACCCTCGCCAGGCCCGCTGGGCCCTCTTCTTCGAGCCCTATAATTTCCATCTCGCCTACCATCCCGGAACCAAGAATCAGAAGGCTGATGCCCTCTCCCGGCAGTTCTCACACTCCACGCCCATGTCTGAGCCCGCATTGATTCTACCAGAGCACAGATTCCTGGCCCCCCTGAGGTGGCCGTTGGAAGAGACTATCCAGCACGCCCTCCGGGGCGACCCCGCACCTCCAGAGACTCCCGCAAATCGTCTCTACGTCCCTACATCCTGCCGCAGCGAGGCGTATTCCTTGGCCCACTCGTCACGCCTGCCTGGCCATGCAGGGATTCTCTCGGACTCTGAAGTTCCTCCAGCGGGCCCTTTGGTGGCGACGCATGGCTAAGGACGTTAAGGACACTACTAGCGCCTGTGACATCTCCAAGACACCCAGCCAGGCCCCTGTTGGGGTCCTCAGACCACTCCCGGTGCCCAGCCGTCCCTGGTTCCACGTGGGCCTGGATTTTGTCACGGGACTCCCGCCAGTCAACAACCTCAACACGTTCCTCACGGTCACAGACCATTTTTCAAAAGCGGTCCACTTCATCGCCCTTCCAGGTCTCCCTTCGACCCGACGCACTGCGGAACTATTCCTGGAAAACGTGATGTGCCTCCATGGGTTCCCTATCGATGTGGTCTCCGACCGGGGCCCCCAGTTTACCGCCCGATTCTGGAAGGCCTTTTGCCGCCTAACGGGAGCATCGGTCAGCTTGTCCTCAGGCTATCACCTGCAGACCAATGGTCAGACGGAGCGGGTTAACCAACAGCTGGGTCGGTACCTCCAGTGCTTTGTCTCGGCTCAACCCTCGCAGTGGCCTAAATACCTCCTTTGGGTGGAGTTGTCCCACAATTTACACCTCCTCGACCACTCACATGTCCCCTTTTGAGGTCTGCTATGGCTACCAGCCCCCAGTCTTCGCCCACCAGGAGCCCGATGTTGCTGTTCCTGCCGCGCAGTCCCTGGTGAGGCGCTGCAAGAACACCTGGATCAAGGCACGAGCTTCCATCACCTGGGCAAATGCCCGTTACGCTCACCAACATCTCCGCCGACACCGTCCTGGTCCCTCCTATGTTCCTGGGGATAAGGTCTGGGTGTCCACCGCGGACCTCTGCCTCCGTGCCGGATCCAAAAATCTCACTCCCTGGTTCCTCGAGCCTTATACTGTACAGAAGGTTATCAACCCAGTCTTGTACCGGCTGTGGTTGCCGACAGGTCTCCGTATCCATCCCACATTCCACACTTCCCTGCTCAAGCCCTATGTGGATTATCCCCTCCTACCGCCTCCGCTGCCCGCTTCCTCGACGGTGAGCCCATCTATACCGTCCGATGCATCCTGGACGCTCGTCGCCGAGGTCGAAGTTGGCAATACCTCGTTGACTGGGCGGACTACGGCCCAGAGGAACACTCCTGGGAACCGGCCCGCTCCATCCTGGACCCTTCCCTGATATCGGACTTCTGGGACCGCCGGGGCTGCCCTGGGACTTCGGGAGCCGTCCCTGGACGGGGAAGGGGGTGGGGGTTCTGTCAGAGCCCAAGTCCCCAAACCAGCCTCTTCCAGGTAGCCGGTCTCCACCCTGGACCACATCTACCAGCATGCTCCTCGCGGGGATTCCCTCCACGTAACTAACCGTGACTATATACAGAAGTCGCCTCCCCAGCTCACCACTCAGTCATAGTTTCTTCAGATCCATGATCAGAGTATCCAATCAACCTATCCATCCAACGAACTGTCTACTCACAGTAAGTGCTATTATTTACCTCGGAAAACCCAGTATCTCCGTGTCACTTCACTGATGCTCGGGGATTCCTAGATCAAACTGCGAGCTGGTGTATCGCCGAGGCTAGCACTTCCGCATCTGTAAAGCCACGCTCGCTACAGCTCAACTCCTTGTATCCAGCCGGCCAGTCTGACAGCAACCAGACAATCGCCTAAACCCACAAACATGGGTGTGAGCGTGTCACGCAGCCACAGTTACTAGATGTGCGTTAGGTTGGAGCAGATTCATACCAGAAAAGGTCAAAAGACATGAGGTCAAGACAAATATATAAGTAAAATATTTATTTATGACAAAAACCAGTGTGAGATAACTGACATTAGTCACAGCTGAGTTACAGGTCACATGACTCACTCATACAGGGTTAACACACTGTCAAACCGGACCAATAGATCTGTGACATCACGTGATGAGCAGCTTCCTGCTTTCACCATCCGACACATTTAGGTTGTAACTGATGGTAGGTTATAAACACAAAGACTGGGGGGGTCCTAAAAACACTTAAAATCAAGAGAAACTCTTCATGCCAGTCTCTCCTCTCAGATTCAGAAAAGTCTTCATGTTCCAGCAGATCCACAGGAGCGTCCACGCGGCTCTGAGGGTCAGGGCACAGCAGCTCAGCTCAAAAACACTTTCTGAAGACGATCCGAGGTCCATTCTCCTCATATTCCTTCTGACTGATCCATGCAGAGCTGAAGGTGGGCAGGTTAGCCAGAACCGCCCCACCCCTCCACACTAGGCAGTCCCTGTTTTTGGGGCTGGTGACTCTGATGGCCCCGCCCACCTCTGCAGGAACAAGAGCTTTGATTTCAGCCTGGAGCCGCTCCGGGAGGCCAGGCAGCAGAGTGTTCCCACCTGCAGTCAGAGACGAGAGCAGATCAAGCCCGGGTCTTTGCTGGACCACAACACCTGAGTTTCACAGGAACACAGAACCTACCTGACAAAACGATGTTCCCCAGGAGGCTGCGCCGCAGGTCAATGTCGGACTTCTGGATTGACTTGGAGATGCTCTCATGCATCCCATAATGTTCACGTCCAATCAGCTGAGGTTTAAACAGAATCTCTGGAGCCCTTAAAGAACAGCAGCAGTGATCCGTTAGTTATGCTGGTTCTGACGGTCAGACAGAGGAGCAGCAACATCTAGTGGACTGTAGTCTGGAAGTCCCCGAGAGGACCCATTTCTGTACAGTTCCGACAGAAAGGTCCGGTTCAGACGGCTGCTTCAGCAGGACGGGACACTCTGACCCTACCTGAAGCGTTCTGTTCTGAGGGTGACGATCTGTCCGTCTGGCATGGTGTAATGCATCTCTCTGCAGGATGACTCTGCAGCTTGGTAGTCGAGAGCAACACAGCAGCACCTCTCCTTTATCTCTCTGGCGATCTCGTTCTCTGCCGACGTGCACATGCTAACACCCTGTTCCTGCAGGAGCTTCAAACAGATGAAACCGTCAGAAACAATGGAATCCTCCTGGTTCTGGTTCTTTTGACATGAAAGGAGACGGATCAGAAGCCTCATTTCTACGTTTCCTTGAGCACCAAACAGGGTCTGATAACGGCACTTCCTACACTAACTTTGTGGAAGTGTAACTTAAGAGAACAACTCTGATGGAAGCGCGTTTTGGTGGCAGGGAAACCGGCAGCGCAGCCTCAGATTGGTGCTGCATCTGCAGTGATGTGGGCGTTGTACCGAAGAGAGAGCTGAGTCAGAAGGCAAAGCTCTCGATTTACCGGTCATCTACGTTCCTACCCTCACCTATGCAGCAGCCCGCCTGGTCTTCAATCAGCCTAACAGAGCACATGTCACCCCTCTTTTCACTGAGCTCCATTGGCTACCGCAAAGTACTGGATGGTACGGCTCCCGTCTACCTGAGTCCTCTTGTAGAGGCTTACGTCTCGGCCCGGCCGCTCCAGTCAAAGGATCTTCGGCTAGCAGCGCCTACACCACACTCGGGACTCTTTTCACGTGTCGTTCCACAGATGTGGAATGACCTACCAAGCACTAGACCCAGCTCTTCAGAGAGCATCTTCTAAACTAGCACCCTCCCATCACCACTCTGCTGCACGCTCCATGTTTGCATGTTAACCCTAACCCTAATCCATTATCACCTGTACGTCGCTCTGGACAAAGCGTCTGCCAAATACCTAAACATCAACCTATGGTCACCAGCTTTGGGTAGTGACCAAAACAACAACATCACGCACACAGGCGGCCAAAATGAGTTTTCTCCGCAGGGTGGCTGGGCTCTCGCTTAGAGATAGGGTGGGAAGCTCTGTCATCCAGGAGGGGCTTGTACTAGACCCGCTGTTCCTCCACATCGAGAGAAGCCAGTTGAGGGGGCTCGGACATCTGGTCAGGATGCCTCCCTGGTGGTTTTCTGGGAGGAGACCTAAAGGAAGTGCCAGGACACGCTGGAGGGAATATGTCTCTGTCTGGCCAGGGAACGCCTTAAGATTCCCCGGAGGAGCTGGCCCAAGTAGCTGGGGAGAGGGAAGTCTGGGCCTCCCTGCTTAGGCTGCTTTCCCCGCGACCCGACTCCAGATAAGCAGCTGAAAATGGATGGATGACGGTTGGACGGACATCTGAGAGCAAGGCTGATAAATTGTAAGAACTTAAATAATAATTATTATTATTAGCCTATAGTTGTATAGCGCTGCTAGCATAGTAATATGTAATATTCTTATGTAATAGTGACTGATTTCTATTATTCTAGTGGAACATGTGACCGACACACACATGCATATCTGCTAGTGTTCCTACTGTGTGTGTTAGTTCTCCTCCCCATTGCCTGACTGCTGACATGTTTGTTTCTCGGTTAGCTTAGCTAAGGTCTGCGCCTCGATACGGTTACTTTAGGTCATTAAAGTAGTCCGAACGTGTCAAAAACAGGTACATACTTTTTTGAGCTGCGTTGTAACGTCCACACCGGCCAGTGGGAAGCGCTGCACAGCATGAGGCAAGCAGTAGCCCTCAAACACAGGGACGCTGTGGCTCACCCCGTCTCCAGAGTCAAACACCACTCCTACAAACACAAGATCAGGAAGAGGGTTCCACATCGTTCAACGGTGATCTGAGAGATGACCCCGTCACCCTGCGTCCGAACTTGAGCAGTACCCGTGGTTCTCCCTGTAGCGTAGAGGGCCAGCACCGCCTGCATGGCCACGTAGGTCAGAGGAACGTTGAAGCTCTCAAACATGATCTCCACCATGCGCTGCCGGTTCTCCAGGGGGTTCATGGCTGCCTCGGTCAGCAGAACAGGATGTTCTTCTGGCTCCACCCCCATCAGCTGGAAGGTGTGGTGCCAGATCTGTAAGGTACCAAACCCGCAAGAACAGACAGGTTTCATCTTTTATTTGAATAAAACACGAGACAGTTGTTGTAAAGAACCACGTCAATCCGTCTCCTGTGGTGGGCAGTGTGTCCATCATCACCACCCATGAAAGCACACCTGCTACCTGTGCAGCTCTGCTCGTCCCCGTGCGTTCTGGGACTTGTAGTTTTAGCTTTATTACTGCAGTTCCCCACGTTCACTTTCCTACACGTTACACATGATGGCATGGTCTAGATGGAGCCGTGTACCTTCTCCATGTCATCCCAGCTGCTGATGATCCCATTCTGTATGGGGTGCTTCAGGGCCAGGACCCCCCTCATGTGCTGAGCGTCATGGCCGACGTAGACACCCCCCTCTGGGTTACCGTTCATGATTTCCTGCAGATAAAAAAAGAAGGAACCTGCTGGAATCTGTGATGCTCCCAAGGGGTGGCCTGGGGTGGCCATGCCCCCCCCACCCCCCCAAAAAAGAAGAATGGAGCAATGCAATGCTTTGCAACAGGCTAAACTCTCCACAAACCCTAACTTGGTGTGCCACCCCCAAATGTTCTTTGGCCCCATCTGGCCAACTTTATCTAAATTTTCTGGGGGCGCCCCTGACCGGATCAGCAGGTTATTGGGATGAACCAGTCCCGTTGGTGCCAGAATGAAAGCATCATCGTAGCCTTACCTCATATTTTGGAACTCCTATAATATTTGGGAATACAGTTTTTGGCCCATCTTGATCTGCAAATCCTGCTTTCATCAAACCAGAACCGGTATCTAGAACCACAGGAACGTTTAGATCCCAGACCTGGAACCACAGCAGGAACAGAGAATTCCTCAGAGTTAGGACCACACTGGTGATGTGTTCAGCTGGAGTTAGCATCCCATTAGCCTAGCTAGCCACTAACAAGTCAAGTCAAAATGTATTTCTGTAGCACGTTTCATTGGCAACAGCCGACGCCCCAAAGTTCTGCACACAAGGTGAAAACGCCGTCGTGATGAGAAAAAAAAAGACCCAAAAATCATTACTGGATGCTAAAACCACAAGCAGACACATAAAAAGGAATAAAAGCAACAATAAAAATACTAAAGTTAAAAAAGCCTTAAAAGAAACCTACGGCCCGTTGTTTACTGGTGAAACGCCAAAGCGTGCACGTCCGTTTTCACACGTGCTGACAGAATCAGCTGTTCCACAGAACACCCTCACTTTTTAACCTTGAGGTTAACACACACACACACACACACATCCTGATTCAGTGTCTCCACCGCAGGTGTGTTGAACTCCGTTTCAACACACCTGATTTCAATCAGCAGGTGATTAACAGGCTTCTGCAGAGCCTGACGAGCTGCTGCAGGTGATTCAACCACTGAATCAAGTGGGTTGGAGCAGAGAAACAACAAAAACATGCTGGATGCCGACCCTCCAGGACCAGGATTGGGAACCACCCAAATATTTTTTATGTTAAGGTTCTTTTTTTAACCCTAACCCAAACAAAAAATGACCATAAAATAAATAAAAATGAAGATATTTTAAATGAAATACAAGCTAAATGTAATGAAAACACTTCATTCTAAATTGTGTGGACTTTAAAAGAGAAATAGCATTTCTTTCTGCTTTCCTGATTCATTTTCATGTTGTTTTGCTCTTAGAGGTTACGTTTTACTGTGGGAGTGAATAACTGCAGGTAAACTGGTGCTCCGCTGTGTTTCTTTGTAAATAACATGAGTTTTTTGTTGAGCTGTGCTCAGATCAGCGTTCAGACCAGCTGACCTGTGCCGGTCCGACCCACCAGAGAGAGAGAGAGGCGCTGGCTTCAGACCAGAGCTTTTTACTTTGACGGGACAAACAGCTGAGACTAGGAAGGTCCGTCGGTGTGTGCTCATCGTGCGGTAAAAACAAACAGCATAAGTAAACACTTCTGAGGTTACAGCGTGCATTACTGTCCCTACGCACGTTCCACCATAAGACGGACGGATCCCTAACCCTGACACATCCAGCAGGATCAGCACAGCACTAGAATCAGAACCGCTGGCTGGTCTCTAATACCTCCGAGGCTTTCATGACAACGTCATCCTGTAAGGAACAAGAGAGAAAGCTACAGCTCATACAAACATCCACCTCCGTGCTGGCATACCTCTGGAACATCGTCAGTAGGACGGGTCCACGCCTCTTCAGACCCACAGCTGGATCTCCGTACAACGTCGGACCTCTGAAACCCGTCAGACAACCAATGAGTTCTGCCTGGGTCCGACTCCAGCGGCTGACCAGGAAGCACCCGTGGAGTCATGTAGGCGTGGGAAGGACCATCGCAGCAGTCGGATGTTAGGAGCTTCTTGTTGTTGTTGTTGTTGGTAGTGAGCTCCTTCACATTTGGACTGATGACCAAGCCCTCAGCGGCCTCTCCATCTGGTGCACCAACATCATCCAGCCTCCTCCCAGAGGCTGGTGGAGCTCCCAAACCATCTCCTGATTCAGTGTCTCCCATGCGAGGCTGAGGATGGACAGCGTCCTCCATCGGGTCTTTGAAACCAGAACCTCGACATGGGGAAGGCGGATCTTCAACCTCCAGACCAGAAAAGGACCGGAAACCTTCACTTTGACACCAGTCCCGCCCCGCCGACTCGGTGCTTCTAACAGACGGTGCAGCGTCCTCCCCATCTCTCGGCGTCTCTGTGGGTTCCTGCTCCTTGTACAAACTCTTCTCCAGCGCCTCCACCTCTCGTCTCTCCTTCTCCAGTTGGAGCCGGAAAGCCTCCCCGTCTCTGATCAGACGTGGATCAGAACATCTGGATCTGCTGTTGAGGTCCTTCAGCCCTAGTCGGTTCAGATCTGGTCCCTCGGGAGCACTGGAGAGGAGCTCACCTGAACTCCATTCACCTTCACTGGAGGATTCATCTGATTCGAGCTCAGAGGAGCTCTGGGGTTCTCCAGCTTCAGCCGGCTCACTGGACCTCATCTAGAAGAGAAACAAGCACCGGTGGTCAGACGTGTTGGCTCTAGAGTCCTTCTGTCCGCCAACACCCAGCCGGGCTGCTGATGACCTCACATCGTTTATGGTGCGTTGGGTTCAGGTTGGAAAGTTAAAGCTGGTGACCCAACCAGGACTGAAGAAGATCCGGGGCTTAACACACGCGTGCGTGCGCACACACACACACACTCTCACACACTCACACACACACACACACACACACACGTAACACGCACTAGTCTTTTCATAAAACATTCGTGGCTTGAGCCCAAGTAGCCGGGCCTAACGCCGCCCCGTGTGCAGACGTGAATCTCAGACTCTGATAGGTTTGTCGTCATGAGAGAGCAGGTTCACAACACCACGTAATCACTGTGGTGCTTGGTGTGAAAGATCAGCACACCCAAATATAATAGGAGCAATAATAATAATAATGATAATAATAATAATTATAATAATGATAATTATTTTTATTATCATTATTATAATTATAATAATGATAATAATAATAACAATAATGATAATAATAATAATTATAATAATGATAATTATTTTTATTATCATTATTATAATTATAATAATGATAATAATAATAACAATAATGATAATAAAAATATAATAATAATAATAATAATAATAATAATAATAATAATAATGAAGTGGAGTTTGACATTTGTTGGGATCCCGGTGGGTCACATGATTCCTGCGGGATTCCCGTGAAATGGGAGTCAAGTTATTTATAATCCCGCTACCGGGACAAAACAGGAAAACTATTCAACGGGAGTGGGAATGAAAATATATCCAGATTTCTGTTCAATATGAAACTCTGGTCTTATAAATGAATGTGTCGTTTTAATTGACATTAGTTGTGTCTGACCCTTCTGACTACAGCGGTTGTGAAAACACGAGGACATCACTGATGTGTTCAAATCAGCGGACTTTCTGACCGACGTGCCTCTTCTCTTAACTTTCCCAAAATGAAATAAACCTGAAAAGCACAAACTGACTGTTGAGAATTAGCTCTGATGCAGCAGCGGCCTGCAGGAGCGCTTCTACTTCTAATAGATCTGCACCCGGCGCACCAGAAGCAGCCGTATTACAAACGTGAGGTTATTTAAGGTCATTTATTTTATCGTGATACTTGTGCTGAACTAAAACACCAGACAGGATGACCGTTTGTCCTCAGCAGCGATTTAACAAACAGCTGAGATAAACCTGCATCTCCAACACAAGTCACACCAAAATCAACCTTTTTTTGCTGATAACTTGTCTAAATAAGTGTAATGTAGACATGTGTAGTTGTTATTTTTGCATTTTGGTGCATTTTCTTTAAAAACTTAAAATTCAGCCTAAAACCTTCAGTCCAGCGCCCTCTTCAGCTCTAAATTATTCGACACTAATTTACAACAGCAGTTTGAAACCCTAACCCCAATGGGTGAAGCGACCCATGGCGGTCAGACCTCTGTGGCTGTAGGTATGAAAGCATCGGTCTCAGCCAGGCTTGTAGCTTAGCTGTAGTTAGTTAGCATTAGCACTGAGTCGGTCCCAGCAAAGCTTCTAGTATTATAATCATTTAGTTCCAGTATCGTGGCTGTTAGACTTTGTAGTGTAGCGGAAATCCACATTATTCCCAGATTAACTTGTGCCGGGTTCACTCAAACATTTTCTACGATGGGGTTGGGAAAGCTTCTATAACGTCGGTGCTGATCAGAGCAGAACCCAGCGTCTGCATCTGGACGCTACACAGGTCCAGCTCTACCACAAGCAGGTTCACAGTAAGAGTCCAACGTACTCCGGGCTTGTCCTTCCCGTCCCACCACCAGACCTCCCTCCTGTCCTCCTCCTCCAGCAGGACATCCAGCTCCTTCTCCTGAGCAAGGACATTTTCCTCCTCCTGTCAAATGAGAAATCTGGGTGATGATCAGATCTCCTTACTGATCACAACCAAACCTTCTGGACCACTCACCTGCAGTATCCCTCCAGCCCGGTCCAGGATCTTCTCCACCTGTCTCAGACTCTCCTGCTCCTCCTCCTCCCACTGAGTCAGAGAGACGTCCGTCCCACTGGAGAGAGGATGGTTAGAAAGAACAGTGAGAGAGTTGAGGACGAGGAGGTTCTCCAGCCGCACCTAGGTGAGCGTCTGATCTTCACCTGACAGGTTTGAGAAGATCCAGCTGAGACCTTTAGCTTCCTCAAACAAGAAACCCTCTGATAGCATCAGTTAGTCTGAAGATGGTTGGAGCTGGAGGACCTGATCATTTCTGTTAACTAGTTAAGGAGGACAGAAGACCGGATCCTTCAGCTTTTCCACCAGGTTGGTGAAACTTTTACGCTGAAGCTCATCCTGCTAGCTAGCATGTCTGTTAGCGGATCCTGTTGTCACGATCAGGGCGTTCAGCCTTCTTTCCTTACCTGTAAGCAGTGTTGCTCGTCTCAGGATGGGGGTGAGAATCCCAGAGGAGCGTCGGAACCACCTCCGTGCTCCGGGAGGCAGCGTCTCTTCTATCAGCCGTGGAGCTGGAGAGAATATCATCAGCTGATCCCGGTTCAGGATCGCTGAAGTCGCTGTCCAAGTCCCCGTCTCCGCTCTGTGGGTTCGTGGATGCTGTGCAGGTCATCACCTCCATCCGTGTGCGCCGGGCTGCAGAGGTCCGGGGACCCAGATGGTCTCTCTGAGTGACGGTGTCTGGGCTCTCCAACCCATCTACTGGTCGGCTGAGCCAGGGGTTACAGGCTGCTGCAGCTGAGAGCTTCAGGACCTCTGCCTCCACTTCAGGCAGGATCGGGATGCTTTCTCCACAGGAGTTCCCCTCAGAACCTGGACCCACTCCCCCCACGTGATCCGGACCACCAGAGACACCCTCCTCATGACGGTGAAGCTGCTTTAGCGTACATCTCACAGAGCCTTCAGCTTCAGCTGATCTCTGTGGAGCAACCTCCAGCTGGGCCCACCCACCACCATTAAAGCCAGAGTCCAGCGGCTCGAGGGGGCGGGGTTTCTGGTCTACTGACACCGAGCCAGAACCTGCAGGTGAGGGAGCCTCTGCAGAGCTGCAATGAACATCTGCAGCCTCAGAGGGCCAGGTCACATGACCTCCATGCATCAACTCAGTCTGCCACTGCAAGGCCAGCTGGAGCTGGTCCACCAACACGGGTCCAGAGGAGATCAGCAGCTTCCTCAGAACCACGCACCTGAATCAGAGAGGAGAAGTGTCACAGACGCTTCAGCGTAGGAGTAAAACCCGGTCACGGCTTCAGCACAGCCACAGACGGGGGTGTGAGAGTACTAGTTACTGGTCACCCTGAAACCAACTGGTCACTCTACTGGTTAGCTAGAACCGGAACCAGAAGGTAAAAATGGTCTGCATGTCTGGGTTCTCGTCTAAAGACCAACATGGACTTCTGACCTGTGATAAATGCGCCTCCCTGCCTGCCGCAGCTGCTCGTCTGGGATGGCGCTGGACAGGTGGACCAGATGAACCAGCTCCTCCATGTCCGGGGCGGGATTCTTCTTCAGGAAGGTGGACAACTCTCGTCTCCACACCGTCTGCTGCTCAGAGGAAAGGTGGTCCCTGTGAGCCGCTGAGAGCAGCTCCTGGAGGAAGTCCTCCGAGAGGACCAGCCTGCACCAGCTGTTGGCCTGCAGAACCAGAGGCAGAACCATCACAAACAGGCTTCCAACCCCACACCCACCCCACCTTCTGGTGGTGCCTGTGTACCACAGCCCCAGAGCTGCTGTGCCTACCATGTAGCTCATCACCACCAGGGTGTGAATGGGTGAATAACTGTTGTGTTGTAAAGTGCCTTGGGGGGCTGCAGAGCCCTAGAAAGTGCTAGAGAGAACGTGCCTTGTTGTAGTAGTGGTGATAGTCTGAAACAGCTCTGAGGGTCTGGAGAACAAGCGTCACGTCTAAATGGAGGTTGTCCTTCAGCCTCTCCAGGTCCTGAACCCACGACTCTCTGGTCTGGGCCTCCAGAGGCAGGGTCTCCTCTAAGGTGTGGATCACTTCCTCACAGTGATGGATGAGCACCTGGAGGGAGGGGATGGAGAACTACGCTAGCAAAGATCTAATGACACAAACATGAACGTCCATCTGAGGAGGAGCATGAAGATCTGCACCATGGCAGGAGAGTAAACGTTGGTCTCAAACTCGGACAGCGACGCCACTCCCTTGGCTGACCTCCCGTCGATCTCCGCTGTGTAGAGCTGCAGCTTCTCTTGAAGAGCTGCGATCTTCTCAGTTATCTGAAAACATTCGACCAAGCAGGAGGATCAGAGGACGAAGATCTGGCAACAGGAACTGAAACGCTGAGAGCGGCTGTGGTGATGGGATATTTTAGTGAGGATGTTCTACGACTTATGAGCAGCACAGGGTTGGGCATGGAGCATCGGCTGGAACCGGGACTCCCAGTTTTTCCCGGAATCTTTCAAAGTTTCTTACTTCCATTCCCAGGCTGCCGACCTCTGGAAAACAAACGGGATCTGCTCATTCTGATGGGCGCCTTTGAGAGCTGCTCACGCCGGCCGTCTGTGGCTCCCACCCTGCTGCTGAACTTCTACTCCTGATGCTAACTCCTGCAGCGGCGTGGAGGAGCTCATTTAAATGGACTCAGTAGAAGTTTTAGAGAACTAACTCTGGGCGGAGTGAGTTTCTCGCTGCAGAAATAAAAACACGAGCGTCAAACGCAGCGACACTCGTCTGTGAGCGTCAGGAGGCCGAGCTGTACACGAACAGCTGGAGCAGCCTCTGAGGAGGACCACACCGGGTTCTGCCACTAGGAGCCGACCGGCATGATGAATAAATGATCTGACAACGTGTCAGATTATTTATTTTTAACTATTTAGTCTGTTGAGTTTTAAATCTGTTGGGTTGTTCCTGACGGCAGCTGCGTGTTAGTTTCCGTTTCCCTTCAGACTGAAGCTGCTGCAGCAGGTCAGGGTTAGGGTATGATGCTTTTAGATGACAGGGTTAGGGTATGATGCTTTTAGATGACGGGGTTAGGGTATGATGCTTTTAGATGACGGGGTTAGGGTATGATGCTTTTAGATGACAGGGTTAGGGTATGATGCTTTCAGATGACAGGGTTAGGGTATGATGCTTTTAGATGACAGGGTTAGGGTATGATGCTTTTAGATGACAGGGTTAGAGTATGATGCTTTTAGATGACAGGGTTAGGGTATGATGCTTTTAGATGACAGGGTTAGGGTATGATGCTTTTAGATGACAGGGTTAGAGTATGATGCTTTTAGATGACAGGGTTAGGGTATGATGCTTTTAGATGACAGGGTTAGGGTATGATGCTTTTAGATGACAGGGTTAGGGTATGATGCTTTTAGATGACAGGGTTAGGGTATGATGCTTTTAGATGACAGGGTTAGGGTATGATGCTTTTAGATGACAGGGTTAGATGTTTTTAGATGACAGGGTTAGGGTATGATGTTTTTAGATGACAGGGTTAGAGTATGATGCTTTTAGATGACAGGGTTAGGGTTAGAGTATGATGCTTTTAGATGACAGGGTTAGGGTAAGATGCTCTTAGATGACAGGCTTAGGGTATGATGCTCTTAGATGACAGGGTTCGGGTATGATGCTTTTAGATGACAGGGTTCGGGTATGATGCTTTTAGATGACAGGGTTAGGGTATGATGCTTTTAGATGACGGGGTTAGGGTATGATGCTTTTAGATGACGGGGTTAGGGTATGATGCTTTCAGATGACGGGGTTAGGGTTAGATGCTTTTAGATGACAGGGTTAGGGTATGATGCTTTTAGATGACAGGGTTAGGGTATGATGCTTTTAGATGACAGGGTTAGGGTATGATGCTTTTAGATGACAGGGTTAGGGTATGATGCTTTTAGATGACAGGGTTCGGGTTAGAGTATGATGCTTTTAGATGACAGGGTTAGAGCATGATGCTTTTAGATGACAGGGTTAGGGTATGATGCTTTTAGATGACAGGGTTAGAGCATGATGCTTTTAGATGACATGGTTAGGGTATGATGCTTTTAGATGACAGGGTTAGGGTTAGATGCTTTTAGATGACAGGGTTAGGGTATGGTGCTTTTAGATGACAGGGTTAGGGTTAGAGTATGATGCTTTTAGATGACAGGGTTAGGGTATGATGCTTTTAGATGACAGGGTTAGATGCTTTTAGATGACAGGGTTAGATGCTTTTAGATGACAGGGTTAGATGCTTTTAGATGACAGGGTTAGGGTATGGTGCTCTTAGATGACAGGGTTAGGGTTAGAGTATGATGCTTTTAGATGACAAGGTTAGGGTATGGTGCTCTTAGATGACAGGGTTAGGGTTAGAGTATGATGCTTTTAGATGACAGGGTTAGGGTATGATGCTCTTAGATGACAGGCTTAGGGTATGATGCTTTTAGATGACAGGGTTAGGGTTAGAGTATGATGCTTTTAGATGACAGGGTTAGATGCTTTTAGATGACAGGGTTAGGGTATGATGCTTTTAGATGACAGGGTTAGAGTATGATGCTTTTAGATGACAGGGTTCGGGTATGATGCTTTTAGATGACAGGGTTAGGGTATGATGCTTTTAGATGACAGGGTTAGGGTATGATGCTTTTAGATGACAGGGTTAGAGTATGATGCTTTTAGATGACAGGGTTCGGGTATGATGCTTTTAGATGACAGGGTTAGGGTATGATGCGTTTAGATGACAGGGTTCAATTTAGAGTATGATGCTTTTAGATGACAGGGTTAGGGTATGATGCTTTTAGATGACAGGGTTAGGGTATGATGCTTTTAGATGATAGGGTTAGGGTATGATGCTTTTAGATGACAGGGTTAGGGTATGATGCTTTTAGATGACAGGGTTAGGGCATGATGCTTTTAGATGACAGGGTTAAGGTTAGATGCTTTTAGATGACAGGGTTAGGGTATGGTGCTCTTAGATGACAGGGTTAGGGTATGATGCTCTTAGATGACAGGGTTAGGGTATGGTGCTCTTAGATGACAGGGTTAGGGTTAGAGTATGATGCTTTTAGATGACAGGGTTAGGGTATGATGCTCTTAGATGACAGGGTTAGGGTATGATGCTCTTAGATGACAGGGTTAGGGTATGATGCTCTTAGATGACAGGGTTAGGGTTAGAGTATGATGCTTTTAGATGACAGGGTTAGATGCTTTTAGATGACAGGGTTAGGGTATGATGCTTTTAGATGACAGGGTTAGGGTATGATGCTTTTAGATGACAGGGTTAGGGTATGATGCTTTTAGATGACAGGGTTAGGGTTAGATGCTTTTAGATGACAGAGTTAGGATATGATGCTTTTAGATGACAGGGTTAGGGTATGATGCTTTTAGATGACAGGGTTAGGGTATGATGCTTTTAGATGACAGGGTTGGGGTATGATGCTTTTAGATGACAGGGTTGGGGTATGATGCTTTTAGATGACAGGGTTGGGGTATGATGCTTTTAGATGACAGGGTTAGGGTTAGGGTATGATGCTTTTAGATGACAGGGTTAGGGTTAGGGTATGATGCTTTTAGATGACAGGGTTAGGGTATGATGCTTTTAGATGACAGGGTTAGGGTATGATGCTTTTAGATGACAGGGTTAGGGTATGATGCTTTTAGATGACAGGGTTAGGGTATGATGCTTTTAGATGACAGGGTTGGGGTATGATGCTTTTAGATGACAGGGTTGGGGTATGATGCTTTTAGATGACGGGTTAGGGTTCGGGTATGATGCTTTTAGATGACAGGGTTAGGGTTCGGGTATGATGCTTTTAGATGACAGGGTTAGGGTTAGGGTATGATGCTTTTAGATGACAGGGTTAGGGTTAGGGTATGATGCTTTTAGATGACAGGGTTAGGGTTAGGGTATGATGCTTTTAGATGACGGGTTAGGGTTAGGGTATGATGCTTTTAGATGACAGGGTTAGGGTATGATGCTTTTAGATGACAGGGTTTGGGTATGATGCTTTTAGATGACAGGGTTAGGGTATGATGCTTTTAGATGACAGGGTTGGGGTATGATGCTTTTAGATGACAGGGTTAGGGTATGATGCTTTTAGATGACGGGTTAGGGTTCGGGTATGATGCTTTTAGATGACAGGGTTAGGGTTCGGGTATGATGCTTTTAGATGACAGGGTTAGGGTTAGGGTATGATGCTTTTAGATGACAGGGTTAGGGTTAGGGTATGATGCTTTTAGATGACGGGTTAGGGTTAGGGTATGATGCTTTTAGATGACGGGTTAGGGTTAGGGTATGATGCTTTTAGATGACAGGGTTAGGGTATGTTGCTTTTAGATGACAGGGTTAGGGTATGATGCTTTTAGATGACAGGGTTAGGGTATGATGCTTTTAGATGACAGGGTTAGGGTATGATGCTTTTAGATGACAGGGTTCGGGTATGATGCTTTTAGATGACAGGGTTAGGGTATGATGCTTTTAGATGACAGGGTTAGGGTTAGGGTATGATGCTTTTAGATGACGGGTTAGGGTTCGGGTATGATGCTTTTAGATGACAGGGTTAGGGTTCGGGTATGATGCTTTTAGATGACAGGGTTAGGGTATGATGCTTTTAGATGACAGGGTTAGGGTATGATGCTTTTAGATGACAGGGTTAGGGTATGATGCTTTTAGATGACAGGGTTAGGATATGATGCTTTTAGATGACAGGGTTAGGGTATGATGCTTTTAGATGACAGGGTTAGGGTATGATGCTTTTAGATGACAGGGTTAGGGTATGATGCTTTTAGATGACAGGGTTCGGGTATGATGCTTTTAGATGACAGGGTTAGGGTATGATGCTTTTAGATGACAGGGTTAGGGTATGATGCTTTTAGATGACAGGGTTAGAGTATGATGCTTTTAGATGACAGGGTTAGGGTATGATGCTTTTAGATGACAGGGTTCGGGTATGATGCTTTTAGATGACAGGGTTCGGGTATGATGCTTTTAGATGACAGGGTTAGAGTATGATGCTTTTAGATGACAGGGTTAGGGTATGATGCTTTTAGATGACAGGGTTAGGGTATGATGCTTTTAGATGACAGGGTTAGGGTATGATGCTTTTAGATGACAGGGTTAGGGTTAGAGTATGATGCTTTTATATGACAGGGTTAGGGTATGATGCTTTTAGATCACAGGGTTCGGGTATGATGCTTTTAGATGACAGGGTTTGGGTATGATGCTTTTAGATGACAGGGTTAGGGTTAGAGTATGATGCTTTTAGATGACAGGGTTCGGGTATGATGCTTTTAGATGACAGGGTTC